GAACCTACTGTAATCTATAAACAGTTGAACGTAACGAAGTGCAACGAAGTGAAGTTCAACACACCTGTAATCTATAAACCTACTGTAATCTATAAACAGTTGAACGTAACGAAGTGCAACGAAGTGAAGTTCAACACACCTGTAACCTATAAACCTAATGTAATCTATAAACAGTTGAACGTAACGAAGTGCAGCGAAGTGAAGTTCAACACACCTGTAACCTATAAACCTAATGTAATCTATAAACAGTTGAACGTAACGAAGTGCAGCGAAGTGAAGTTCAACACACCTGTAACCTATAAACCTAATGTAATCTATAAACAGTTGAACGTAACGAAGTGCAACGAAGTGAAGTTCAACACACCTGTAACCTATAAACCTACTGTGATCTATAAACAGTTGAACGTAACGAAGTGCAACGAAGTGAAGTTCAACACACCTGTAACCTATAAACCTACTCTAATCTATAAACAGTTGAACGTAACGAAGTGCAACGAAGAGGAGTTCAACACACCTGTAACCTATGAACCTACTGTAATCTATAAACAGTTGAACGTAACGAAGTGCAACGAAGTGAAGTTCAACACACCTGTAACCTATAAACCTACTGTGATCTATAAACAGTTGAACGTAACGAAGTGCAACGAAGTGAAGTTCAACACACCTGTAACCTATAAACCTACTGTGATCTATAAACAGTTGAACGTAACGAAGTGCAACGAAGTGGAGTTCAACACACCTGTAACCTATAAACCTACTGTGATCTATAAACAGTTGAACGTAACGAAGTGCAACGAAGTGAAGTTCAACACACCTGTAACCTATAAACCTACTGTGATCTATAAACAGTTGAACGTAACGAAGTGCAACGAAGTGAAGTTCAACACACCTGTAACCTATAAACCTACTGTAATCTATAAACAGTTGAACGTAACGAAGTGCAACGAAGTGAAGTTCAACACACCTGTAACCTATAAACCTAATGTAATCTATAAACAGTTGAACGTAACGAAGTGCAGCGAAGTGAAGTTCAACACACCTGTAACCTATAAACCTAATGTAATCTATAAACAGTTGAACGTAACGAAGTGCAACGAAGTGAAGTTCAACACACCTGTAACCTATAAACCTACTGTGATCTATAAACAGTTGAACGTAACGAAGTGCAACGAAGAGGAGTTCAACACACCTGTAACCTATGAACCTACTGTAATCTATAAACAGTTGAACGTAACGAAGTGCAACGAAGTGAAGTTCAACACACCTGTAACCTATAAACCTACTGTGATCTATAAACAGTTGAACGTAACGAAGTGCAACGAAGTGAAGTTCAACACACCTGTAACCTATAAACCTACTGTGATCTATAAACAGTTGAACGTAACGAAGTGCAACGAAGTGGAGTTCAACACACCTGTAACCTATAAACCTACTGTGATCTATAAACAGTTGAACGTAACGAAGTGCAACGAAGTGAAGTTCAACACACCTGTAACCTATAAACCTACTGTGATCTATAAACAGTTGAACGTAACGAAGTGCAACGAAGTGAAGTTCAACACACCTGTAACCTATAAACCTACTGTAATCTATAAACAGTTGAACGTAACGAAGTGCAACGAAGTGAAGTTCAACACACCTGTAACCTATAAACCTACTGTGATCTATAAACAGTTGAACGTAACGAAGTGCAACGAAGTGGAGTTCAACACACCTGTAACCTATAAACCCCCTATAATCTTTATTTCTCTATTTCATTAGAATAAGACTAAAAAGTAGAAAATAAAATACTTTATAAAAAAAAACTTTTTAAAAAACTACGTTTTTCGCGTAGACTAAAAAGTAGAAAATAACTTTTATTCTTGGTTGTAAAGAATTTGGTTTTAAATTTTCAGATTATATTTAATAAATTTTTATATCCTAGTCAATATTGTTCACAAAGTTTCGAATAAGTGCCCTTTGATCTTATCGTATAACTCAACAACTTAAAAACGTGGGCGCATTATAAGAGGAGAAATAAGTTTATGTGAAATCAATACTTTATGATAAACTTAAATTAATGCGCCCACGTTTTTAAGTTGTTGAGTTATACGATAAGATCAAAGTGCACTTATTCGAAACTTTGTGAACAATATTGACTAGGATATAAAAATTTATTAAATATAATCTGAAAATTTAAAACCAAATTCTTTACAACCAAGAATAAAAGTTATTTTCTACTTTTTAGTCTACGCGAAAAACGTAGTTTTTTAAAAAGTTTTTTTGGTGCTAGCTATCGAATTTAGCCATAAAATGGACAGGAAAATTATAAAACACGACTTCATAACTTCAAATGATTTTAGTGATAACTTTATTTTTGGATTAAAATTGTTAGATTGATTGGATTGACTTTGAAACCACGGAAATGACAAATCAAAAATAAAAATAATTTTTGGACATTAAACTTCTTTTAAACTTGATGACTCATCAAATTATGACTTTATTTTTGAGTCTTAACTGCCCTCCACCGATGGACTCACCCGATCGACTCCTTTAATGGAGATTTAACATAAATGCTAACATTAAACCTGTACAGAATGTTCATACCTTTATCATAATTAATCCACGACAACTTATAAATTCCTTCTGGAAATATGTCCAGTGCCTTTGCATCATCCAGTGTTCAGTTGCGTATTTCAAAAACATTCTTGTATGGACATTTTTGAAAAATACTTCCAGCTAGTTCCTTGATTTGTTGAAGTATTTGCATCAGAAATAAATGTCCAGTTATTCCTCCCATGATTGAGCACCATTCGATCTTCTTTGTGTCAATTACTTCCCTGTAAATGGTTCCATAGCGGTAGAAGAGGACTAATTGGATAAAAATTGGGTTGTGAACAATTTTGAGGAGTTTCAATTTGTAATTGAACGTTGCTGTGCGTCTTGAGACGGCCTTGATGAATTCAATTCTCAATTACTGCTGTGAGATTGTCAGCTTGGCACTCAATTGAGCGAAATCTGGAAGACACTTCAATTTTTTTGTTACATTTTATGGAATTTATCCAAAAACCTATCAGAAAAATTATCAAACTTATCTTCATGGTGAGTGATAAGCTATTAAATTTGATTTTAATTTATCTTTTTGTATTTTCATTTTAAAGTTTTTAATTTATGCAAAATTCACATGAATGAAAAATAAAAATAATTGAACCATTTTTTTGATTGAGTATTTGACAAGATTTTGTCGTAATTTTAAACATAAAAAATTTATTTTCAAATTTTTTATGGAAATTTAATTTTATTTTTGAGCCTTCAAAGTTAAGCGAAAAGTCAAAAAATTACACTGACAGACTTAGTTTACTTATGTTTAAATTTAATTCAGCTGCTGCAAAGGCACATTTGCTTTTGAATTTTTCTGTGAAGGCAGCTTAACTTCTAAACTTTAGTGTAAGGGCACCTGAACTACAAAACTCAAGTGTAAATGCACCCAAGTCACAAAATTCTAGTGTGAAGTCACTTAAAATTATTTTTTTCAATTGTGTAGGCACCTGTACAATAAAACTCTAGTGTGAATGCACCTGAATATGTTTATTTTTTAATAAAATCTATACTTCGTTACTGAAACCTTATCCCATTCATGTTCTCTTAGTAAAATTATAAAATTCTATCGTGAGAATTTGATCAAATATTAATTCAATTATTTCATCCCATAGACTCCTTTATAGGTGACTTAAGCTGAACAGTTGTATTAAATCTCCACAATGTATGAAGTGTTCGATTGAGACTTGTCCAAGAAAATTTGTAAATTCCTTCCGGAAAAATGTCAAAGGTTTTTGAATCAACAAGTGTCAAATTTTTGATCTCAATATCAACTTCGTATGGGCACTTGTGAATAGCTTTTCCTGCAATTTCCATAATCTGATTAATTGTCTGCATAAGAAATAAATGAGCTGTCATTCCTTCCATGATTGAGCACCACTCAACTCGTTTTGTGTCAATAACTTCCCTGTAAATGTTTCCATAACGATAATACAGAATCATGCGGACGTAAAGAGGCTTGAAGGACGGTTTGAGGTTCTTAAAGTGAACATTTAATGTTGTAACACGTCTGGAGACTGCCTTGATGTAGCAGAACCCTACTGATGTTGTATAATTGTCAGCGTCACACTCAATTGATCGAAATCTCGATGCATATATTAATGATGGATTCTTCTGATTGCACAAAATGGAGGCGATGGTATTTGAGGTTAGAAAAATTAGAATCAATAGCTTCATTGCTTGTATGAAGTTGGAAATTTGATATCGAATTGAGGTGTCAAAGGTATTAGAAACTTTTTAGCGTTACACAATTTTGAGCTTTAATTAGAAACGATTTTGTGTAATTTGAAATAATTATTTTTGACTATTTTACTGAATTTCTAGGAAAATTGATTTTTTGATTGCTGTGATTAAGCAACAATTATGTTCTATGATTTTAAAGTCTTTAGTGAACTGATCCCATCTGAACCTAACTTACTTCTAAGCTTCTGTTAAGTGTTTCTACAATTAATTCTGAAATTATGGCTATGAAAGCTAGTTGACCTTAAAATATAATATTATCAACTCCAAAACACACCGGTGTAGCTTAAACTTACTTTTATAGATAGGGATACCATCTAATTTTCATGAAAATACAGGACATTTTGTAAATTTTTTCGAAAAAAACAGGACATAGAGTAAAATTCGAAAATTAACGGAAATTTTCATGAAAAAAATAAAGGACCAAGAACAAAATTTAAAAATTTATACAGGACAGTCTTGAAAAATACAGGACTGTCCGTTGAAAAACTACGCAGATGGTCACCCTATTTATAGATCACGAAAAATCAAATAATTCAATTTGAACTCCTTTGAAGTCACCAGGAAGACACGATTGCGATTTATTGCTTGTATTTTACCTACCAAACCTAAATATTAATGCTTGTCGTGTCAACTTTTTTGCTTTTTACAACTTATAAAAGAAGCGCAACTTAGCAAAAACCTGTCAATGTAAGGAATGTTGTAGACTGGAAGTGACAAGCAAATTTTGTGATTTAAAAATGAAAGAAAAAAGTGAAAAATCCACAAAAAAACTGGAAAATGGAAATTTGACTAAAGCATCTATTATTCTTTGTGTTGCTGCTGTTGTCTTAGCTGGAGGTCCTGCCTTTTATATTTCGTACATGTCAGCAGCTTTAAGAGGTAAACTTATATTATCTGAAGGTATCCAATAATCATAGTCGTAGCCAGTAACATTTTCTATTGATTAACAAACCTACACAGAGCTTTATCCTTTGAATATGCCCATTCAGAACCTTCCAACACACAAGCCTTAAAACTAACACATTCAATAAATTTACAGAAAAAATATGCACATTTCAACACTCATCGCCAATCTGCACACCATCTCCATACCGTACCTACGATGGTTCCTGCAACAACCTACAAAATCCACTTGCTGGAACAGCAAATTCTTTTTATGGTCGCATTCTACCTGCTCTTTATGGTGATGGAGTTTCAACTCTTCAAAAATCTGTCACTGGTCATCAACTTGCAAGTCCGAGGAAAATATCAAAAGCTATCTTTGGAGAAGTAAGTGTTCCAGATCCTGTTTATTCAATTGCAATGATGCAGTTCGGGCAATTTATTGTACATGACATGGGTTTTGGACTTGATGGCAATTCGCCATCGTGTTGCTCAAGCTTGATAGGATCTTCAATGGGATTAAATCCACATGCAACATCTGGAACTCCATCGGAGATGCCTGATTGTGCAGCTATATCAATTCCTAGTGAAGATCCTGTATATCCACCGAATATTACCTGCATGGATTTCACAAGAGATGCACATTCAGGTGATTTACAATGTCCTGCACTTGCAGCTGGTCAGCCAATCGAGCAAATCACATCAGTCACAGCTCATCTTGACTTGTCTGTAGTTTATGGAAATTCTGAGGAGCTAGCAACATTTTTAAGAACCATGGAAGGTGGATTGTTCAAAATAGTTGAAACTGACGGCTATGAATATCCACTCCATGATCCAGATCCAACAATCAACTGCTTTGTACATCCACCACAAGATCTTTGCTATTTAGCTGGCGATGATCGTCTCAATCAAAGTCCACACTTGACAGTCATCCACATTCTGTTTATTCGTGAGCACAATCGACTTGCTAGGGCACTTGCAGCTATTAATCCTCACTGGAATGATGAAAAACTCTTCCAAGAAGCTCGTCGAATCAACATTGCTGAGCATCAATATATTTCTTATTATGAATGGCTGACACTGTTCTTGGGAACTGAAAACATGCTGCATACTGGATTAATCAAGCACTTCAGTGGTGACGAGTATGTCAATGACTATGACTCAAGTGCAGTGCCAACAACGTTCAATGAATTTTCAAATGCCGCTTTTCGGTTCTTCCATTCACAAATTGAGGGTCATTTGAAGTAAGTTGGTTGTTGTTTTGATAGGTTTTATGGACTTGTCGTGACTTTGGGGTTTCTTTTGTGTTCGAATTAGTGACTTGGGCATTAAAACTGGCCACGAATAGTTTGAAATGATTGACACTGTCGATGCAGATGTTCAATATAGACTTAAATTATTTTGATTATTTTATATAACCTCAAATTGTCTTAAGACTTGTCATTTAACCTCAAAAATAACCCAAATTGGTAAACATAACCTAAAAAATAATCAATTCTCATCCATATTCCAGCCTCCTAACAGAATCCCGCGAAATAATCACCACAATCGCCCTCAGTGACCACTTTAACAACCCAAACATCACTCAAGACAACTTTGATGAACTAGCACGTGGCATGGTCCACCAAAACTCTCAATTATCCGACAGTAACTTTGATGAGCAAGTACGAGAATTTTTATTTAAAGATGGGAATCATTTCGGACAAGATTTGAGGTCAATTGATATCCAAAGAGGTCGTGATCATGGAATTGGCACTTACAATGACTACAGAGAACATTGTGGAATCCCCAGAGCAACTCAATGGGATGACTACCTTGATTTAATTCCTGCAAATCATGTTGCTAACTTACAGTTGGTTTATGAAAGTTTTGAGGATGTTGAATTGTCTGTTGGTGCCATGCTTGAGTCTATAATTGATGAAGAAACGTTGGCTGGTCCAACAGTTTTGTGTATTTTGAATGAACAGTTCATGAGAACTAGAGTCAGTGACAGGTTTTGGTTTGAATCTGGAGACTCATTGGTTGCATTCACAAGACAGCAGTTGAGAGAAATCAGGAAGTCAAGTTTTGCTAGAATTCTGTGTGACAATTCAAATAACATCACGACAGTGCAGCCTCAAGCATTCTTTGTTGTTAATGACACGAATCCGATTGTTTCTTGTGCTCAGATTCCAGTTATGGATTTGAGCTTCTGGCAGGATTCATAAATTTTTGATGTCCTTATGGCAAAATTCCTGAAATAAATTGAATTTTTGAAAATACACTTAATCTCATTCAAGTGACTAGATTTGGTATAATTCTGCAGTCTTCAAGATTTTCGTTAAGCAACAGCTCAAAAAGAAATGATTCAAAATCACAAAATCATTATAAATGCAGTGACAAAGCAGACACCGAAATTAATGGATTACATCGGATGAAGTGGTTCAAGTGCACGACACGTGATCGGCAACAAGTTAAGGGATTTGTCATAAATTATCCACACAAGTGCATCATTTTCAAGCCTGTCTGTTGTCTGATGTGTAGCTTGAGGACTGAAAATTCTTAAAAATTAAACTCCTCCTGGAAAGAGAAGTAGAGGGGAGGGGACGGGTGAAGTGGTGTCTTGATGAATGTTTTGACTGAAATTGGTAAAATTCTTCAAGTTTTGATTGAAATCAAGTAATGTTAATGAAAATTGGACTAAGGTTCACTAAAATTCTTCAAAATCTGATAGAAAAAACCTACAAAAAAATCATATAATCATCCATAAAAATCAATTTCCACGCTCATATCCATCATGTCATCAAATTTCAATTTATCATCCGCATCAAATTATCCCATTCAGTCTCATCCGTCCATCCATTCAGCTCATCTCACTCCCAACTGATAAAAATCTCAAAATAAATAAAAATTAACAGGAGGGTGAGTGAACATGCTGCTTAGCAAATGACCCATAAAAAGTTTTTCATTGTTCATTTCTCATCGTCTCGATTACAATTTCCGAACCCCTCCTTCGCATCACAAGTGGAATATTTATTGCATTCGACAGTCAAGCTAGTGCGGTGTGTTGCTACAATTTGATGTTCATTTTTTTGATGTTGTCTCTTGAGACTTGAGACATTGACTCTTGAGATTATGCACCGTGCATGTGAAATTGAATGAAAATTACTTTTTCATTCTCATTCCCACGATTTTGTGAATGATTTTATGAAAGAAGTATGTTTATTAATTTTTGTATATTTTTATGGTGTGTAGATTGAATGAGATTAGGATGGGGTTAAATTGCTGCATTGTTGTTTGGCATGTTCGGGGACAGATAGAGATTCTATTGATGAGTTTTGATGGTTCAACCTTTAATTTTCAGGCTTGTCATGAGGTCGACCAAGAAGGAGTAATTTAGATCCACTTTATGAAGCCCTTCTTGATTGCTTTAGCACCACACAAAACCTTTTAGGTGTGATTTTAGATAAAATTGGTGTTTAAATTCAAAATCATAGGAAAAATTGTTCATCAACTACAAACTCTGACCATCGTCAGACCATCCAGTTGCTATGTCTCTAAGGTCAACTAAAAGGTGCGGAACTGATCAATCACGTTTGAATCATTTTGAATCTCTATTGAGAATTTTGATCATAGTTTTCACGTCAACGGCAAATCAACTGGAGGACCTGACTAAGGCCAGGGTCTGCTGCTTAAGAAAGTTGATTTTTATCAATTTTAATAATTTTTTTACTATTCAGAAAATCACAATTTGGCTGTTTGACGTCTTAAAGAACACTGAACAATCTTCTGCAGTTTTATATAATTTTTAAGAAATTTTCTATCCATCCTTGTTGACTACAATTCTCATCTCAAGTCTCTTAAAACAACTTATCCAAAAAAATCTAGTCCACAGCATCCCTTCACTCTCTTTTAAGCAGCCAAAAAATATTCACACGACCATAAAAATGTGAGCATTTGTCAATTACGCAGCACATTCTCTCTTGTTTTACATCCCTTTGAATATATTCATCTACCCTCATTGCATTTAACTAAGCTCCGCCTCCATTTTTTTTCCTTTTTTGTTCATCTCAAATCAAATTACGTTTTCGATGTTTTCTGTCTCATTTCTACACTCAGCTACTCTATAGATTAAAGAGAGACAGCGACATTCACAAAGTACATAACAAAAGAAAAATATCACAGAAATGTTGAGAAACATAAATTGCGCCATCCAACGCACAAGGATTTTTTTTTTTGTGTTATTGTGTTCATGGAAAAAAATTTGCTCTAACACTCAAACAGATGCCTTTCATTTAGAAGTTCGCGTATTTGGTGCATGAGAGGAGGTTAAGGGAGGGATGAGGAGATGAAGAAATGGGAGAAAGATGAATGAGATTGACTTGAAGAATGAGAAGAGAACATTTTTTGATTGTTTTGAGGGGTGGACTTTAAGAGCCTTTAAGTTTGTCCAGGTTATTTTTCAGTTGTTTGGTGTGTTGGTGTATTTTAGGTGTCTGCTAGGTTATTTTAGGGTTACTAATAGAGAAAGCTTAACATACGAGTCAATAATAAATAAGCTGATTTTAATCAAGGCTGAGCGTCATTGAAGCTGAGAATATTTAAGGCTAAGCATCATTAAGGCTGATCAACATTAAAGCTGAGCATATTTACGGCTGAGCATCATTAAGGCTGAGCATCATTAAGACTGAGCATCATTAAGACTGAGTATCATTAAGGCTGAGCATTTTTAAAGCAGAGCATCATTAAAGCTGAGCGTCCATTAAGGCTGAGCATCATTAAGACTGACCATCATTAAGACTGAGCATCATTAAGGCTGAGCATCATTAAGGCTGAGCATCATTAAGACTGAGTATCATTAAGGCTGAGCATTTTTAAAGCAGAGCATCATTAAAGCTGAGCGTCCATTAAGGCTGAGCATCATTAAGACTGACCATCATTAAGACTGAGCATCATTAAGGCTGAGCATCATTAAGCTGAACGTCCATTGAGCTGAGTATGACTAAGTTGAACTGTTCACTTAACTTGACTTGAAATATTGTGGAAAAAAACCAAACCATGTCCTTCTCCTTACCTAATCACCAACAAAACACCCCGCCTAATTCAAGTCTGTATGATCTTCTCTCATTTTATTGCCGCTTCTTTTGCTTTTTCCCTAAATTTTCATCTCTTCCTCTCTCTCTCTCTCTCTCTCTCTCTCTCTCTCTCTCTCTCTCTCTCTCTCTCTCTCTCTCTCTCTCTCTCTCTCTCTCTCTCTCTCTCTCTCTCTCTCTCTCTCTCTCGCATTCACTTCTCTTTCCATTCCTAAAAAAATTTGCAAGGCAGCAATTTAGCATCAAAGCAGAGTAACAAGAATGGAAAAAAGCCCTCCTTTTTATGAACATCAGCAGCAAGCAGCAAACAGTAGCAATAGAAAATATAGAAAAAAATAACATAGGAAGAGAAAATGCAGCCAGTACACACATACACACTCACACATAGACATAGAAAAGAATTTTTCAGGCACAAACACAGAAGCAGCAGAAAAAAGTATTTTTCACATATAACAAAAAAGGCAAACAATTGAGTTCACCATTGTTTATTGAATTAAGCTTATCATTTGATTTTTGATATTGCAAGCCATCGGGCGATTAAATTTCGGGGCCGACTGACTGACTGTAAGGAAGCAACATACAAGTATAAAAAAAAGTTCCTTTAAGAACAACCCGAGCGTGTGTGTCGAGAGCAAAAAAAAAGGAAAGAAAGTTTCGCTTTTGAGACATTATTAAGTGCGATTGCATTCATAAACACAGACGGTTTACGGTTAATAAGATTAGAACGGATAATGATTAAATAATTGAATTTATAACAATTTTTTTTTTGCTCTCATTTCTTGTCGAAAACTTTTTTTTTTCGTTGCTGCTGTTGAGGATGGAAAGAATCTTTTTATTTTATTTAAAGTGAGGATTTTTTACACTTTTGGGAATCGTTGGAATGTTGAGGATGATTGAATTATTGAGGATGTAATGAGATAAAGGTGGTGAAAGTGAAGTGCAAAGTGAAAAAGTAAATTGTGAAGTTGAACGGGACAAAAAAAAGAGAAAGGATTTTTTTTCGAGACTTAAGTTGTGGAAATTTGAAGGATTTTTTGAAAATATTTAAAAGAAAAATTAATTTGAAAATTGCAATAATTTTTAAAACTATTTATTGAGTTGTAAAAGTTAAAACAAAAGAATTTTGACTAAAAAAGTGAAGTTTTAGTAAATTTAAGACCTTTTGTGCGATAAACTGAATTAAATTTTGCATTATTAAAGCAAAAAAAAAATACAAAAATTATTGCTAGACTTAGAAGAACTTGATATAAATCCCCAATAATTTTAAAAAATTAAAAACAACTATTAAAATTTAAAGAAATCAAAACCGAAATTTCCAGCAATTTTTTTGATTATTTTTGAAAATAATACAATTAAAACATTAACAAGCAGTTAAAAAAATTAAAGAAATTTTTTTAAAAAAATACAACAAAAATATAAAAATTAAAAACAGACTAAAAACCTTGTTGTGAAAAATGCAATTTACTTCATCATAGACTGGTGCTATTTGTGAAATTATAAAAAGTGAAAGAAATTGTCAAAAAACTTAATTTACAATTTTTTAAAAATTAACTTTTCAACAAAAACTATCAAAACTGTTTAAAATCATCTCAAAACCTCCAAAAAACTAATTTTGTTTAATCCAAGCAAACTTGATGAATGTTAAAAATTGAAAATTACTCAATAATTCTTAAAACATTTATAAAAATTGAACAAAAAAACCAATTCAATACTTCTTTTGTTCTAAAGTCATCAACCTACTCACAAAACCCCAAATCATCAATAAATTCAAATTAAAAAATTTATCCAACAAAAAAAAAATCAATTAAACAAAAAATAAATTCAAATTTAATTAAACAAATGCAATTTTCGCCTCAATAAGATAAATATTTACTTAACTAATTACCCACCTTCCTGGTTGATACCCCTAAAATACAATAATCCAACAAATCAGTGCAGAACGTGATTAGAATTATTGATTGATAATTACTGGACTAGAAAATTCGAACAAAACAAATAAATTTTAATTATTGATGAGATTTTGAATTTGTGGATAGACGAAAAGTTGAAATAAATTGGTGGAAAAAATGAAAATCTTCAAGTGACTCAAGCTGGTAGCTGTAAAGTTCCGACGCTCTTAAGACTTGAAGGAACATCAAAGATTGTTGGATTGAATTGTGAAAAAATCGCAAGAATTCAATTAAACCTTATTTGGGATTGAAACTGGCACTGATACGTCTAGTAGGACGAATAACCCAACCCTAGTGCAACACTTGCCGACAATTGCTAATGATGTTCAAGAAAAATTGATAATTTAGCATCAAAAAACTAGAAAATCTCATCAAAAATGAATAAAATTATGTGAAAAATCCAAAAAAAACTGTGACTCTTCAAAAAGTATCCAAATGTGAAAAGTGCATTCTTAAATAAAACTTAACCAAGTATACTAATCAAGCTATACGATACAAAATAAAATTTGTAGAATCCTAAGAGACTTAAATTTTAATAAAAAGTGAACATTTCTTATAAATATTAACTAGTTTTGTGTTAAAAGCTATTTAGTGTCATATTAAAAATAAAACAATAATTTAAAAAATTATAAAAATTAAAGAAATTTTAGAAAAACATTTTTAAAAAAATTCTAAAACAAAAATCATGGATTACTCATACCTAAATCAAGCTGCCGCAACATTCGACTCAACCTGCCTTCAATCAGCAATGGATCCCAGTGGACTTAACATGCCATGCTCCTACGGCGATCTCACATCGTGCAATCAAATGTCACAAGCAGCATACAGATATACAGCAGCTGCTGCATCAATGGCTAGGAGTTATAATCCAGTATCAGTGACTGGTGTTGGACCTGGCAATGCACTTCATCATTCTGTACCGCCGGGCACTCAGTGCTCTGTTATGGGATCGAGACAGGATGTTCATCGTGCTGCAATGTTTCCGTCGTCAATGAATTTGCAATGTGAGTATTAACTTTTTGAGGTTATGTGACTGGAGTTGGATGTTAAGAATGTTTATAAACCAGTAATGACCAATTCATGTGCCGCGGCACACTAAAAAAATTCGAGAAATCTCACGAACCATATGCTTTTGGCAGTTTCGGTCATGACTTACCATCAAGGTGTGCCGTGGGACGAAAAAGATTGACCACCACTGCTTTAGACTCAACTAACATTTTTTTGAGGTTATGCGTCTAAAATTGTATAGAACGTACGACTATTGACATCTTTAAGAATATTTTGAGGTTATGTATCAAAAGTCGCACGCTGTACACCACTCTGTGGTAATTTGAAGGTTATGTTGGCTAAAATCGCATGTCATTCACGACTATTTTAAGTTATGTGTACTTAATCCCACCCCAACCTCCATAAATACTTAACAATTCATAGTTTTTCACACTCCTTAACCCAAAATTCCTCAACTATTCCTCCTTTCCATGCCTAACAGCAATTCATTCTGACATTTATTCGCCACAAAATCCTTTGCCTGTATTTACTTAAAAGTGATTTAATTGCCATAAATTGGAAGATAATTGCTGTTCCTTTTCCATTCAATTAATGTTCTGACTGTCTTAAAATAGCAAAATCTATTGTTATGAGAATCAAAATCATCTTCATATTGCATGTGTACCGACCAAAAAAGCCACAAACATTAATTCTCACTGACAGTGTAATACCTGGATGTATATGCATAAATATTATAGTTTATAATTTATTAATATGTGAAATAGAAAGTGTGAAAATATGGATGAGAATGAATAGTTTTTGAAGTTTGGGGCGTTCAGAAATGAATCAAAGCTTTAAAGTATGGTTAGCATTGTGTGCATCTTACAGTTTGAGGTACATAACCTCAAATTTGATAGTGGTGTGTTGAAAATCGTAGACAGTGTGCGACTATTGACACACAACTTCAAAATCATCTAAAATATGTCAATAGCCGCACGTTCTGCACGATTTTGAACACATAACCTCAAAATTTTAAAGAAAATTCATAAATCTTAAACATAACCTTCAAATTTCTCAATTTATATCCGATCCACATCTACAACCTCTTCATTACTTCCTCTTCAAATCTTACCTTCTTAACTGTATTATCCCCCCTCCACTTCCACTAGATAAAAATAACTTTCCCCAATCATAAATTTCAATTCAATTCTCTTGCTTTTTTAATCCAAACTCGCCCCGCTTCATGTTTGAAAATAAATTGCACCAAAACAGAAATTTTTCACCGTTTGATTTGTGAGCTTTCCGCGAAATTTTTCAATTTCAAATGTGTTTTGGTGCAGCTAACTGTGTTTTTATTGCTGCCGTGTGTGCCTATAAATGAAAATGGTCTTCGTGCAATTGGGAAATTGATTGTTATAGCTGTTGTGATTGGGAATTGGGTAAGAGTGAGGTGTTGGGGGTTCGAGATGAGAGTGTGGGCTGATTAACCTCAAAATTTGATAGAATTTTGCATTATAACCTCATAATTTGGAACAACTTTGTATTCTAACCTTTATTTTGAAACAAATTTACTTTCTCACCTTGAAATGCAAGTCAAATTTGCATTTTAACCTCAAAAATTAAAAGAATTTTGCATTATAACCTCAAAATATTGACCATTTCGCCGAAAGGTTAAGTTTTAACAGTGTACCTCCCCCAAGATCACATCTCAACCCTTCAACAACCCCCACTCCATCTAATCCACCTTTTTATCATCAAAAAATCCCCAAAAATTCAGTCAAACGATAAAAAAAAGAAATAAAATCATAAAAAAATTTCATCTTACATCGTAAAAATCTCATCAAATTCGCGTTGTATGTGTCGGCATTTCGTTTTCTTCATTTTTTTTCTGATACACAAGTAATCGTATCAAGCTCATTTCAACGTAATCTTTTTACCATCTTTTGAACGTGCTGACATGCATGAGCTTTAAATAAACAAACAAACAAACATGTAAGCAACATGAATCGAGGATGGAAGTGTGTGTATGCATATGCTTTTAGTTTATGGATGGATGTGAAGTCGTAAAGTGATATTGAGAGTTGAGATGTGGATGGGATGGAGATTGAATGTTTTTGGGGCTTGAAGGGTTGATGGAGGAGTGAGAGGGGCGCGATTTTGTTAAGATTTTATAACATTTTGAGGTTAGAATGAAAAATTTGTCATCATTTTGAGGTTAGAATGCTAAATTTATCATAAGTTTGAGGTAAGAATGCAAAATTCTTTCAGTTTTTGAAGTTAGAATGGAAACTTCTTTAAAATTTTGAGGTTAAAAATGCAAAACTCTTCCAAGTTTTGAAGTTTGAAATGTGAAAAACGCGCTAAGCATCTAAAATTCCACCCATAAACCTCCACTGACTTTTATTTCCTCTGACGACAGCATCTTGTGCAATATTCTTATTATTTATCGACCATTTTATTCCATCTGAAAAAGGACCCAGTCACCCACACACACACACATGCACATCAAAATATTTTTTATGACCGTCAATTTTATATCCTCAAATCCTTTTTTCAGCTTTCTTTTTTCCAACCCCCGACAATTTTTTGTTGCTGTCATAATTTTTCCTTCTTTTATTTTCTTTTTGTTTTTCCCCAAAAACGAAGAAAATGAAGGAAAATTTTTGCCTTTCTTTTTTATTGCCATTCATAATTTTTCGTTTCTGCTGCTTTTATTTAAAGAGCGATGAAAGCAAAGACGAGGGATGGAAGAGCTTTAAAGACGTGAAAATTGCTGGCTTTAAAAATTAAATTTTTTTTCTCTTTGAAATCTTGTTGTGATCTGGAAAACTTCGAGACGTGCTTGCTTTTGAATATTTTAGGATGGGAATTAGTTGATGTTAAGGAAATAATTTTTAAGGTTAAATTTTTAATGTGGAATGTGAAAGTGAATCGTAGGATGGATGATTTGGAATGTTAGAATCGGTTGGGAAGGTTAGAACAGTGGTGTCCAACCTATTTTATACCATGGCACTTTTGGTGGTAAGCCATGACCAAAACTGCACACATTGTACTGTTCGTGGGATATTCGAAATTTTTTCACAGCACACTAGTGTGTCGAGGCACACGGGTTGAACATTACTGGGTTAGAACGAAGGAAATCAGGGAAAAGAGACGGATTCTTATGGCTTCCTCCCGTTCACTAGCCTAGATAAAGTAAATTTCAATGTAACATGTACAATTTAGTACATCATCGTTGAATTTAAGGGTATGCTGACTTAAGTAGTCCAAGAAACCAGCATAAAGTGGTTTAGTCTGAAGGTAGCTCTAGAAACTGAATCCTAGATGCAAAGAAGCGCTGTTAATTCCAAAAAAATAAATTCTGTCTCTTCTTTTGATTAAAAATTACCATATGCACAATATTCTGATTTTACAGTAGGACCCCATCCTAGTCAAACCCCTCCAACCAAGCAACCCAAACCAAAAACTCCAAATTCATCCAAAAAATTCTCAAAAACAAAACATCGCAAAAAAAGCAATTTCTTTAATTAGCTAATTTATATTTTTTCTTCCACTTCCATTTGAATCAATTTCCACTTTCTCGTCTCCTTCTTTCCATACTGTTCAAAATGGAGGGGCTCGGAAAATTCAGACAGCATGAAAATATTTTTCTTTTCTTTTTTTCTCTTCTTTGTTGCTGTTCATTTCGCAATGTGCCACTGTTGATTCCAATCTGATTGTGCATATTTATAATACAAATTGTGCCATAAATTTTATTTTTTTTTTATTCTTTGGAGTTGTTTTTACTTGTTTTTGGATGATTGTCGAGGGGAATAACAAGGGGTTGGGGAATCTGGGACATTAGTCGAAGGTGATCTTAGCTGTTTATTAACCTCTTGATCTGGTTTCTAGGGCTGTGAATCGGATTCAAAAGAGTCTCAAACTGTATTACAATCAAAAACCAAAGTAAAATCCATTATTCAAGACTAAATGAATCCCAAGTACCCCAACATAACCTCAAAAAATAAAATTTCTTGTAATAAAAAATTCTAACCTCAAAAAATTTCCCCAAATTTCATCCAATTCTAGCTGGCCTTCCATACAAAGTCTACACAGGACACGACTCGGTGCTTAGTGAAAAACGCAAACAACGTCGAATACGAACAACATTTACATCAGCACAGCTGAAAGAGTTAGAGCGAGCATTCCAAGAGACTCATTACCCGGACATTTATACGCGAGAGGAGATAGCAATGAAAATTGACTTAACTGAGGCGAGGGTTCAGGTGAGTCGATAAAAAGAATTATTTTCGGACGAATAAAATTGCAAAATTGGAAGTTGAATTTTCTAGAGAACAATAAAAAAAAATTCAGTTCGGAATTGTGGTGAAAAGTTATTGCTACGCGTGGTTTTTTAGCTGCTGCGGTGATAAAAAAATATTTTTTTGTGCTGTGTATGCAAAATTGGAATGGATGAAGCTCTAAAAATTCGAAGATTGAAAATTTGTGAATTATTTTAGTGGACATGAAGGTTTGTACTGCGTAGAATTGCTATAATGTCGAGTTACTGCTGTATGTAGCAATTATATTGTTAATTTCATGTTCTACACATCGCACTTCCTCAAATTTACAACTTTTTAGACTCAAAACTCTTCAGTTAACCTCAAAATCCCAACAAAGTCACATGATGTACCTCAAAAAGTTAACAAACCTCCTTCAAATCACAGTCATCCTGCACCTCATCCCTCCATCAACCCAGCTAGACAAGAAATGCTCAGAAATCTTCTACAATCACGTTCATCCCTATCACTGTTGTGAATATCCAATAGCAGACACCAAAAAGACAAGCTCTGATCACTGCTATATTGAATGTCAGCAGAGTGACAACTTCTGTTGCATCTATAACTGCATACATAAGGAATTTAGGATGTTTGACAATGGAATGGTCGCTGTTGATGGAAGATTAAGTCATTATGAATCAGATTATCAGAATAAGAAGGGGATGAAGGAGGTTTGGGACACGGTTGTGAGGAAATCTGTGGATACTTGTGAGAGTTTGAGTAAGTTTTTGGGTCTTAGAAGGTGAATTAATGGGGTTAGAGGAAATTTTGACTTGTTTTGTAGTGCTACCTGTGGCATCTTTCCCCAGTCTCAAATCAATTTTATTTATATCCTTTAAAGAGCCTTATGGTGCCCCGAGTAGACATAGAATCCAGGCCCTGATTGAGGTTTCGTGTCAAATTCAGACTCTGTCAGTGCCAAACTAGATTCTTCTTCTCATTAACCTCTGTGGCTTGAAGAGTGTCTGAAAAAACTATAAAAAATTTAAAATTTTCAGTAAAAGTGGAAACAAAGCCGAAAGAAGACTGCAAAATGCCGGAATTCATTTACATGGTGTTTGCATGTCAACAACATTTGAACTTCCTAAGCTGTCCAACCTTTAAAAATACATCAATTTGTAAGAAAGCTTATGACTTAGTCAAGAATAATGAAGAATGTGTGCTGAAATATGAAAATCATAAGTTTATGAGGCAAGAATTCTGGTTCATTGATGAAATTTCAGAGGAAAGTGATGAGTTGGACTGCATTATTTATCAATTATTTTAAGAGCAACCTCAGTTCCTTATCATCCGATAACAGCAAAATCCAATCAGCAATCAAGTCATGAACAAGCATCACCCCCGAAATAAAACACATCCAAACAATTTCTGTTGACTTATCTGCTTAACATTAAACAATAAATAAATAACAGAGACATCATATTCTTCCAATTTAGGCATAGAAACAAGTATTTGAGGGACATGGAATTGCCAATAGGGATAAATCAACATTCATCCTTGTTTAATTAACTAAAGAACCTTTCTAAAGAGCATTAAATGCTTCTTGTCACAAGATTATTACATCCTATATGCCTTTATGTGTATCTTTGCCTGTGCGAGATCACAAATTAAAAATAAACCGAGGGTGAGGAACTGCTGCATAAATTGAATTTCAATTTAACATACATAAACATTTACTTGTTCTCATCACACCGCATGCAGTGAAAATATTTATTGCAGAAAAAATAAAAACGGGATGAAAAATGGTTAAAAATGAACGATACGAGGGATGGGAATGGGACAAGTAAGGAAATTTTTAGTTTTAAAAGATTGTTGCAGTTTTGAGCAAAAAATGGAAAAATATGAAAACAACAAACAAAAGTTTAAAAACTTAAAAATTTGTAAAAGTTTAAAAAATCTCAAAAAATTAAAAAATAAAAATGTTAAAAAAATTCAAAAAATTCAAAAACATAAAACAAGTTCAATAAATTCAATAAAATCGAAAAATTTAAACAAATTCAAAAAATTCAAACAAGTTCAAAAAATTCAAACAAATTCAAAAAAATTCAAACAAATTCAAAAAATTTGGAAAAAGTCAAACAAATTCAAATAAATTTAAACAAATTAAAAAAATTCAAACAAATTCAAAAAATTCAAACAACTTCAAAAACTTCAAACAAGTTCAAAAAAATCAAATAAATTCAAAAAATTCAAACAAATTCAAAAAATTTAAACGAATTCAAAAAATTAAACAAATTCAAAAATTCAAACAACTTCAAAAAATTCAAACAAATTCAAAAAATTCAAACAAATTCAAAAAAGTTTATACAAATTCAAAAAAAATCCAGCAAATTCAAAAATTCAAGAAAATCAAACAAATTCAAAAAATTTAAACGAATTCAAAAAATTAAACAAATTCAAAAATTCAAACAAATTCAAAAAAAATCAAACAAATTCAAAAAATTCAAACAAATTCAAAAAAGTTTATACAAATTCAAAAAAATCCAGCAAATTCAAAAATTCAAGATAATCAAACAAATTCAAAAAATTCAAACAAATTCCAAAAATTTAAACAAATTGAAACAAATTAAAAAAAGTTCAAAAATATTCAAAAATATTCAAAACTATAAAAAAAATTTAAAAATTCAAAAAAAAAAACAAAAAAAAAATCGAAAAAATTCATAAAAATTTAAAAATGCTCAAAATTTTGAACTTTTGCATTACTGGACAATCTGCACCTAATCCCATCCCACTACCTAACCCCTCAATCCACAAGTATATCATTGTCACAACACAAGGCAAGTGCCATGTCATCCCAATAATCATTCTTCTGTTATTTTTAAGCGACAAGTGAACAATTGTTCCTCAATCGAACATTATTATTAAAACAAAAATTATTATAAGCAGAACAAAAAATTGTGACATTTGGCATTTATTTACATCGCTTTGTACACAACTCACGAGTTATTCATTCGCATGCGGTCTGCATGAGTGCACATGAATTGAGAATGTGACATAAACGCAGTGGTTTAATAGTTTTGTGCTATTAAACTATTTATTTTTGTTGCTGATGTTCGGGAGTTAATGTTAAATTGAATTAAATTTTATATTTTTAAAATGATGAGTTTTTGAAGATTTTATAGATTTTTTTGGTGATTTTTGAAAGGGTTTGAAGTTAATTTCGTGGAAATTTGCAAGAATTTAACACAAAAACGTCATTTTTCTTACAAAATCTTACATTCTGCACCTCAAAGCCTCAAAATCTTTCCATTCAGACTAAAAACCAGACACAAAACAGCCCAAATTCTACAATTTAAAGAAGAATCTTCAGACAATTGCTTGCCACACTTTAGTAAATGTCCCAAAAAATAGCACAACGCAGGAACAATAATTGAATCCATATCTCACATTAAAGTACGTCATTTTCTTCCTCGTTAAAGCACTAAATAGTCTCGATTTGTCTCTTTTTTGCGCATGTTGCTTTGTTGTGACAATTTTTAGCTTGTTGTGTGGGGCTCCCTTGGGTGGAATGTTGTCAGTTTTAGACAATTTTTAAGGTTATGTTACTATGAAAAGTGTTATATAAGCTGTTGTAGGGTTTTGTTCTTACGGATTAGGTTCGTTTGGTGTTGTGTAGGTGATTTGGCTACCTAAGCTAGCTTTTGTAGCTAAGGTGCTCCAAAATGTGACGAATCTAACCTTAGACTCTACTTAATACTGGTTGTTTTAGGTAAATAGGAGTAGCTTACCTTAGTAGGAGTCAAAACTTAATTATAAACTGAAGTGTAACCAAAAGCAAACCCTAGAATCAGTGGTCAGCAACTGAGACGTTTCATAGCATAATTGAGAAAAATAGCTATAAAGCTGGCACTTAATTCAATAAAATTGAAATTCTACCTACTGAAACATCCAAAAATTATGAAATAATCTCAAAACTTTTCAATAATTCTCCCAAAACTCGCCCTAAAGGGATGTCATAAAATCAACTTCATCTTCATCCTTTACATCCCCCCATCCTCAACATTTATATAAAAGTATTCCATTAACTTTTTCCTGCCATCACAAAAAACACACACATCCATTCGCAGCTAAAACAGAGGCAAAAAAAGAAGAAAAATACAATTTTTACTCATTCATTAGTATCCCCATATGTTACACGAACATAAATTTTCATGTCGAGAGACATTCATCATTCCTGAAACGACGTTCCTCACGTTTTTTTTATTTTGCTGCTCTTTTTGGCCACCGCAAGCAGCACGCTCCGGTGTGTTTGGAATTTTCTTTCGTATTCCGCATGTCACTTGTTCAAGTGATTTAATTCATCAAAAAATTGTTTTTTGTTGCTTTTTTTGGGAAAGGAAAAATGGTAAAAAGGGGAAGAAGTTGTAAATAAGGGAAGAAATTAGGATGAAAGAGAAGATTTTTGTGCTGTTTTCTGGAATTTATTGGAAAAGTTTAGGGATTAGCTTGCTGATTAATTTTAGTTTGACTGCTAAACTGAACGTATTCACCACAAAACATCACAACAACGCAAGACTAAACTTATACACTACAAAGCTTAATTTATTCACGACAAAGATAAACTTATTCGCCACAAAAGAACTTCTCACTATGAAAAGAATTTTTCACCACAAAAGAGCTTCTCACCACAAAACGAGCTTTTCAACACAAAAAGAGTTTCTCAACACAAGAAGAGTTTCTCATCACAAAAAAAGCTTTTCAACACAGAAAGAGCTTTTCACCACAAAAAGTGCTTCTCACCACAAAAACAGCTTTTGACCACAAAAAGAGCTTTTCACTATGAAAAGAATTTTTCACCACAAAAGAGCTTCTCACCACAAAAAGATCTTTTCACCACAAAAGAGCTTCTCACCACAAAACGAGCTTTTCAACACAAAAAGAGTTTCTCAACGCAAGAAGAGTTTCTCATCACAAAAAAAGCTTTTCAACACAGAAAGAGCTTTTCACCACAAAATATGCTTCTCACCACAAAAACAGCTTTTGACCACAAAAAGAGCTTTTCACTATGAAAAGAATTTTTCACCACAAAAGAGTTTCTCACCACAAAAAGAGCTTTTCACCAGAAAAAGAGCTTTTCACCACTAAAAGAGCTTCTCACCACAAAATAAGCTTTCCGTCATAAAGAATGCTTAGAATTGTATGAAATCAATTAAATATCCCAAGGCAAAAAGAAAAAAAAAAGAATCAAAAATTCCTTCAACATTCCACAACATCAAAATCTAATTTAGTTGATCCCAAAAATCTCAGATAACAAAACCTCCACACCAGTTCACAATGACATCATGTTTAACCATTTATTTAACACTCTCAATAAATTCCTATTAAAAATCTGCTATCAATCCAGTCACACCATTCACAATATGATTAATTTCGACTTATTTTGTTACAATTAATAGAAAAAAAAATATTACCGATAAGATACTGACTTGAGATCGCAAAAATAATGCGAGGGCACAAGTTGAGATAAAATGGCGCGTCATTTTTATATTTTTAGGCATGTTCAGGTGCGATTTATATTAGAAACTTGAGATTAATCTTAAAGTATTTGTGCTGTAATGGTGAATGTTGACTTTTTAGTGATTGTCAAAGTCATGGCGTTCATATTGTTCCTGGTGTAATCAAACTGTGTGTCTTATTGACGGTCTGATAAGAATTATTGCAGCAAAACAACTTTATGATTCACTTTTTACTGTCATAATCAACACAGCCATGCACAACAGCTCTTTATCAATTGCACCTCAATCCAGCAATCAAAAAATTGATGACGTCAAAATTTTTGCGATGCCTTTCAATTGGCACTTAATCAATATCTGGCAAGATTAGATTTGCAATTGTTATAAAAGCTTATAGCGAATTTGAACGCGAATCAGTCTTAAAGTTTAAAGTTATTTCACAAGACAAGGAATACATTTGAACAGTGGCAGTGAAAATAATGAATAAATCCACAATTCTCATCCTCCTGCTTGCCATATCAGCAACAACAGCAGTCGATGTCAACTGTAATTTCATGAAAGCCGTCTTTGGTGGCTCAAACATCCTCACATGCTTTGCAAATCAAGTTCGTGAATCAATTGGATGTGCTGAACCAGACGAGATTAATATTGTTAATGAATGTGACTTGCCAGCCAACACGACAGTTGATGATGTTGAAGGAATTTTCTCAAAAGGCATTGAATGGCCGAGATTTCCAATTAATTTATGGAAAAAGCTACCAAAATTGAAGGCTATTGAAATGGATGGTGCTGGACTTGACACCTTAAGAAGCACATACTTCTTCAACTTGACTAATCTTGTTCATCTCAGCTTCCCAAGAAATAAATTCACAAAGCTTCAAGGACGCTTGTTCCGTCACTGTCCAGGTCTTAAATGGGTTCGATTTAACGACAATCCAGACCTTATAAATATTGGATTCAACTTGTTTGGTAACTTGCCATATCTTAAAGAAATCAATTTCGGTGGAATTGGATGCGGTGAAGCTGATGATGACATGAAATCAACTGACTCAACCTTATTCTCAAGATTTGCATCAAGATTGATGAGAACTTGTCCACCAGATGAAGAGGATTTGGCTGATGACATGGAAAACATGGAATGCACATTCAATACTGATGCTGAGTCTGAGTCGAAGCCAAAGGACTCAAAGGAAGGCTCAAATGAAACATAAGCTTGCCATATTCTGGTGTTTTTAATACAATTTTCCTGTTTATAACTTACTTAATATTGTAGAAAATAGCTCAAATAGTATTGTATATAAAAAGTGTATCTACCCGAAAAAGGGTATGCGACTATGTAAAATTTAGCATTTTATCTGTTAAAATCGGCTTAAATCTCCAACATTTTGCAATAAATTTGTCAATTTTCATCAATTTGAGGGCTCTCAATTTCAAAAAAGATCGTTTATACTTAGTTGCATGCCCCTTTCCCTCCAAAAATTCAATAAAATAACCATAAACTTAAAAAATTCTTGACTTTTTTGACCCTTTGAATGTTTTACATCCTTATCATCACAACAACCTTCTGCACAAGCTGTAATCTCTTGATTTAAGTGCTAAAATGACGACTATTTACTGCGAACTGTGTTTGTTATCAGCTTATCGCAACCCTCAAGTCACACTTTTTGAGCATGTCACAAAAAGTTTAATCAATTGGTGCCAAATTAAGCAGACAAACATTCTGGAATCAATTTACGCTTTTGTTTACTTTTTTGATGGACGTAATTTAGTGGTCAGAGTCATGGTCTAGCTGGGGGACTACTTGAGATTTTTTTGATTAAGCCACAATCCTCCTTCCCCTTTTTTGATAAGAACCAAATGCTTTAATTATTAAAATATCAGTTTTTAAATTCACAAACATTTATTTTCATTTTTAAAATTTAACTTTTAACATTTTTTTAATTAACATCTTAACTAGATGAGCTTGACTTAGTTTCCTTAGACGTATCAAAGTCACACTGCATACCATCCAAATCATCAGTCAAGTCATCCTCATCTGGTGGACATGCACGCATTAATCGTGATGCAATTCTTGAGAAATCGCCAGTTCCACTGAGAATCTTGTCACGTCCACATCCAATTCCATCAAAGTTTACATCACGAAGGTATGGCAAGTTACCGAAAATGTTGAAGCCAACATTAATGATGAAAATATTTCCATGGAATCGAATTGATCGAAGATTTCTTGTGAATCGGAAGAGACGACCTTGGAGACGAACGAATCTGTTCCTTTGGAAGCTCACATGGACGAGAACGTTAAGATTGATGAAATGTGTGCTTCTGATTGACCTGAGACCTGCATTGTCAAACTCAATGGCTCTTAATCTTGGGAATTGTTTGTATAAATTAATTGGGAACCGAGGCCACTCGATGTTCCTTGAAAAGATTCCTTCAACATCTGTAATATTTGTATTTGCTGGAAGATCACACAAATTAACAATGTTAAGTTCCTCAGATCCAATCCATGAGTCAAAGACACTTTCAACAAAGCATGTGAGGATGTTGGAACCACCAAAGACGGCTCTCATAAAGTTACAGCGGACATCGATTGCATTAGTTGAGGCTGTACAAGCGACAATTAAGAGTAAAATTGATAACTTCTTCCTGGAATTAAAGTTTTGTGGTTATGTTGGAAATTTGGAGAAGGTTCTGCAATTTATCTTACATTTTAGTTCCTTAACACTTTAAAAACTGATTTGATTGTGAATTTCGCACAGCTTTTTATAGAAAATTTTGCAGTAAATGCGTCAATCCAATGAAAATCGCAGATCTTATCCAACTGCCAAACTTAGCAAAAATTGCAAATCTTTTAAGATCCGCGCTGATAAGATCCTTAACTTTTATTGGACTGACGTAGAAAAATTCATTTGACATTGCAAAAAAAAAAAGCTATAAATGGTTCCGCAAAAATTGTCTAAACTTCAGTTCAGCTTAAAAATGAAGACATTATCAATCTTTCTTCTAGTCGTTGCATTCACAGCATCGACAAACGCCATCGATGTCCGGTGTAACTTCATGAGAGCCATGTTTGGTGGTTCCAACATCCTCACATGCTTTGTTGAAGCTGTCAGAGAATCAATTGGATGTGCAAATCCAGATGAAATTACAATTGTTAATCCTGGTGATTTGCCATCAGGCAACGTCATCTCCGATGTTGAAGGTATCTTTTCAAGGAACATCGAGTGGCCGAGGTTCCCAATCAATTTATACAAACAATTCCCAAGATTAAGAGCCATTGAATTTGACAATGCAGGACTCAGGTCAATCAGAAGCACACATTTCATCAATCTTAACGTTCTCGTCCATGTGAGCTTCCAAAGGAACAGATTCGTTCGTCTTCAAGGTCGTCTCTTCCGATTCACAAGAAATCTTCGATCAATTCGATTCCATGGAAATATTTTCATCATTAATGTTGGCTTCAACATTTTCGGTAACTTGCCATACCTTCGTGATGTTAACTTTGATGGAATTGGATGTGGACGTGACAAGATTCTCAGTGGAACTGGCGATTTCTCAAGAATTGCATCACGATTGATGCGTGCATGTCCTCCAGATGAGGATGACTTGACTGATGATTTGGATGGAATGCAGTGTGACTTTGACACGTCTAAGGAGAGCAAGTCAAGCTCATCTAGGGGTTAAAATTATGAGAATGTAAAAGTTTAAATTTGAAATAAAAATTCATTAAATTTTGTAAATATTTAAGATTATTCTTGTAGTTTATCTAAAAATAGAAGCTAGTGATCTTACTTTAAACTAGAAATCTAGCTTCAACCTTACTAGATACTCTAAACCTTCAATCACATCAACAACGTTCCAAAATAAGCTAGCAGCTTTTATCAAATCAGCAATCTTTGGAATGTTATTGTTATTTTTAAAGGTGACGAATGTCTAGGTCTTTGTCAATATCTTTGACTGTAGTCCAGTGTTGTCCAACCCATGTGCTGCGGCACACTAGTAAAAATTCAGAAAACCTTACGAACCGTATGCCATGTACAATTTTGATCATGGCTGACTACCAAGGTGTGCCGTGGTACAAAAAAGGTTGAACACCACTGCTGTGGTCTTAAAAATGTGATTTGTTATCAAAACATTAAAGATCCGGCATTAACACTATTTATTGTTTTGCGGCTTGATAAAGGTTTTGGCTATTTATGGCTATAATGGGGGAATCTACTGTTGGGTGCACAAGAACTGGTTTGATATGAGGAAAAAAACAAAAAAAAAATTTTATTATCAAATTCTTTCATTTTTATTCAAAATTGCCACCAAAAATGTTCAAGCCACATTACTTAATCTTGATCAATGTCTCTCCATCCAACAAGCTCTTCAGCAAGTCTCTTTGACTTTTCCTCAGAGCTGCCCTTTCGTCTTGAATGTGATGTGTCCTCATCCTTGTATGTACATTCACTGTTTTCGGTGTCTCTGATGAAATCGTCTAATGTTGGTGGACATCCAGTTGCCAAGCTATGCATGATGCCAAATACAGCATTGTTATCAAACATTGCATTTCGACTGATGCAGCCATTGCCAGCGAGGAAAATTCCTTGAAGTCTGCGCAATACTTTCAAAACATTGAATCCAGCATTTGAGATTTGGTTGCCATGAAGGTAGACCCACTCAAGATTGATTGTGAATCTGAACATGTTACCAGGAAGATTGCGGATGCGATTACGTGGAACTGCAAAGTGGAGCAAGTTTGTCAATCTCTCAAGCATCGAACTTCTGAGGCTGATAAGATTGCAGTTGTCGCACTCAAGACCTCTCAAATTTGGGAATTTCCAGCCAATGTCAAGTGGAAGGTTCGTGACATTTTGGTTACGGATGAACAATCCCCAGACATCGCTGTTGTTGAATGGACATGGATGCATGCCGTCATTTTCAATTTCCAAGACTTCTTCGTCAACGTTGTCAATGACATTTCCTAAGCATGTGTACGCATTGCCAAAGGTCCATGTCATGTTTTGGAAGTCACATCTGATTCTCAAGGCATTGGATGATGCTGAGAAGGCAGCGATGATGAGGAGGGTGCAGAGGAGTTTTTGCCTGAATAAATATAAAGATTATCTTATGATTTTTGAAACTAAAAGTATCCCTTAAAAACGTATCCTAGCAAACTACATTTATCCCAAGAACTGAACTTATTTATTTAAAAAAATAAAAACATATTTAATAAACTGAATTTATTCTTAAGAAACTGAACTCATTCTTAACTGAAATTGAACTCATTCTTAACTGAAATTGAACTTATTCTTAACTGAAATTGAACTTATTCTTAAGAAACTGAACTTATTCTTAACTGAAATTGAACTTATTCTTAAGAAACTGAACTTATTTTTAACTGAAATTGAACTTATTCTTAAGAAACTGAACTTAAATTTAAGAAACAGTCTTTAAGAAACCGAACGTATGCTTTGGAAACTTGTGTCCTTTGTGAATTAAACTTATCCCTAATAATAAACTAAACTTGTCCAAAATTGAACTTTTACATCATCAAAACATATACCAACAAAATTTGAACTTATTTCGATGAATAATCTTGAAGCAACTGAACTTATCCTAATAACTGAACTTGTCATTAGACTAAACTCATCCCAAAAACTGAACTTATTCTTTTAACTTATTTTCTGACTTTCTTACATTTTTGACTTTCTTTGTCACTTTAAAGTTCCTTTATTTTATTAATTTTACCACTTTTCAGCTTTTTACAAACCAAACTAACACACTATTCTGAAGTCTGCCTTATTTTATAGTTCCTCTAATCTTTATCAACAGTTTCATTTATCTAAACAATTTCAACCTAATTTAAAACTATCATAATTCAATTACAAAGCTATTATAAACTTAACCATGACTTTATTAATCCCTAAGATAAGAAATCAAATAGTTTCTAGCGCAAACTACAGAAGCTAGCTACTTTATCAATATTCTGAGAATTAATTGATATTAAATACTCACTGATAAACTAATTCCAAAGATTATTCATAAAAAAGTGCGTTTAAAAGTGCGGAATTAATTTTATCAGCTGATAGCTGCTCAAATGACGTCAAAAAGTTAATTTTTCATGCAGTCACTTTACATCATCCACTAGCTCATTGAATCTTTCCTCTCAGAACATTAATAACAACAAGCATGAAAAATTAACACATTCGAGAGATGAAAAAAATCCTTTTCACACTTCCGTGCACTTCTGCATCTCCCTCTTTATTATTCTTCAATTTAGCTCATTTATTTATTGTTTGCTGTAGTTTGTTGTTGTTTGCCATGTCTGTTAATATTTCTTACACCCTTTAATCTTCTGCTGTCATAAATGAGATACATACAAAGTGTGAATTGGGTTTTGGAAGTTTTTGTGTTTTGCAAAACCACGCTAAGTTGCACAATGTAACCAGAAGAGTCACAAAAGGCGAGGGGACAATGACATAAAATTTTTGATAAAGACATTACAATAGATTTTAATCGTTCAAGGATTATCGACGGGGTTATAAAATTAGACAGATGGCTACGGCAATGAATGTCAAACAGAAACATTGAATGGAATTAAATTGAATTAAAATAATTTTATGGTGGATTTTTTTTTCATACATTATTGGAAATGAATTTTGATAGATTAATTAACTTGTAAATGATAATGGATGAGGAGTGTGGGTTGTGCTCTGGGTGGGAGTAGATTTATAGATTCATAGAGAACTGTAGGACAGAATAACAAGAAAAGAATAGAACTGTAAAAGAACTAGAACAGGAAACGTACTAGAACAGGAAAAAGACTAGAACAGAAAACGTACTAGAACAGGAAAAGGACTAGATCAAGTAAAGGACTAGAACAGAAAATGGACAAGAACAGGAAAAGGACTAGAATAGGAATGGACTAGAACAGAAAAAAGACTAGAACATGAATTGGACTAGTACAGAAAAAAGACTGGAACATGAAATGGACTAGAACAGAAAAAAAGACTAGATCAGAAAAAGGTCTAGAACATTAAAAGGACTAGAACAGGAATTGTACTAGAACAGAAAAAGGACTAGAACATGAAATGGACTAGAACAGAAAAAAGACTAGAACATGAATTTGACTAGTACAGAAAAAGACTAGAACATGAAAAAGACTGGAACACGAAATGGACTAGATCAGGAAAAGGTCTAGAACATTAAAAGGACTAGAACAGGAATTGTACTAGAATAGAAAAAGGAATAGAGCAAAAAAAGACTAGAACATGAAATGGACTAGAACAGAAAAAAAAGACTAGAACATGAAATGGACTAAAACAAAAAAGTTTAGAACATGAAAAAGACCAGAACATGAAATGGACTAGAACAGAAAAAAAACTAGAACAAGAAAAGGACTAGAACATCAAATGGACTAGAACATTAAAAAGACTAGAACATGAAATGGACTAGAACAGAAAAAAGACTAGAACATGAATTGGACTAATACAGAAAAAGACTAGAACATGAAAAAGACTGGAACATGAAATGAACTAGAACAGAAAAAGGACTAGAACAGGATAAGTACTAGAACAGGATAAGTACTAGAACAGAAAAAAGACTAAATCAGAAGTAGAACAAAATCAGAAGTTGAAATAAGACAAGACAAAACCAAAGATGGAACTAAGACAAACTGATGATAAGACAGACAAACCCATTAGACAACTATGCATCATGCAAACGACCTTAACCTTACTTAGAATATTACTCACTGAACAATTTTATCTACATTTAAACTTAATTTTTAAAATAAAATTCTGAATGAAGTGTGCAGTTCCGGTTGACACTTATTCGTCAATTTAATATCTATTAAGGTTTTAAATATATTTTTTTTTGCAAACTTGACTTCAAATTGCTGAATATAAAAGTTGAATGAAATTTAATTCTTTTATTCAGTTTGTGTTTAGTTGCATTATGGGATCATCAAGCTTATTCTGCTTCCTAGTGTTGGTTTTAATTCAATCAGCAATATCTGGTTCCATGTTCTTAGCGGGCAGATGTATTGTCACATATGAGAACATATCTGATGAACTTTTTCGAATCAAGTCACCACAAAAATGCACAGAAATAGTTTTTGGGGATGTAAATTTTTCTGTAATTCCAAGATACATGTTCCTTGATAATCCAGATGTAAACTCTATAAACTTTCAAAATTCCTATGTGACGGATCTTAAGCTGTCTGACCTGCCAAGGAACTCGGTTCTTAATGAAGTTTTCATCGTTGACAGCACAATATCGATTGCTGCAAATTCATTCGAAAATTTGACAAATTTAAAGAAAATTTCTCTAAATGAAGTCAAGATTTTAAGGTTTGAAGGATATCCATTCAAAAATTTAACAAGACTTTTGGAACTTAAAATGACAAATCTGAATTTGACTGAAGAATTTCTGAAAAATTTCAAAATTTCCAAAAGTGTTATAACTTTTGAGTTCTCAAATTGCAGCATAGACGATCAAATAATTTTACAAATCATCAATGAGCTCAACATGTTCACAGACGCTGACTTTTCATATAATTTAATTAAACATTTTAAATTCAAAAAATCATTCAGGGTCCTTAATTTATCATCAAATAAGCTTTTTGGACTCTTTAACTCAAGTAAAATTCAAACTTTGATCATCGATAACAACAACATAACCTCAATCTTTATTGATGGAGCCACAACTTCAGTTTTTGCTTCCGAAAATTCAATTACTGAGATTCTTTGCAGCAACATATCGAAAATAATCGAGTTGGATTTAAATGACAATAAATTATCAGATTTTGGATGCATAATCTCAATGAAAAATTTAAAGATCCTGAACATTAACTTCAATAATTTCACATTTTTTGACAAAAATTGGTTCGAAAATTTGACAAATCTTAACAGTATATTCGCAATGCACAACTTATTGACTTCTTATCCGCCTGATATGTTTGCTGTTAGTTTAGATAATCAGCTACGAGAGATTGGAATCGATAGATTTGATTATGGATATGCAAATTTAAAGATTATGTATCCAAAGTTGCTGGAAGTAATTCATCCGATTTTTAATGCAAGCTGTTATGAGTGGAGTGATTTTGTCAAAACTATGAATAATCAGAATATTGTTTTTATTTTTTATGAGAAGATAAATTGTTATTAAGTCAATCTGATTTGATTTCCTTGTGTAGTGTTAAATTATTTCCTCTTGGGTCAATCTGAATTTGATCCTCTTGGGTCGAGCTGAATTTGATCCTCTTAGGTTGAGCTGAATTTGATCCTCTCAGGTTGAGCTGAATTTGATCCTCTCGGATCGAGCTGAATTTGATTCTCTTGGATCAAGCTAAGTTAGAACATCTCGAGACAATTTCTTAAGATCTTCTTAAGTCGAGCTAAGTAAATTTGTTTTGGGATTCCAGTTAGACCAGTCAACAATGGGCTAATTTAGTCCACAAAATCATCACAACTCAAATAATCTGATAAAAATTCATCAAAAAGTCTCCTCAAAAATCTCATTCAGTCACTAAAATGTAAATTAATTGACCCGTCACAGTCACAAAAATAATTCGCATGAATAAATCTCTATCCATTCTACCGCACACAGACAGTCAGTTGATGTCATTTAGTGTCAGATCTTGTTAAAAAATTCAGCCGTTGTGCATGCAAAAAATATTTATGCATAGGTTGATGCACTCGTAGTTGCACATGACGATAAAAATTTTGGGATGGAAAGTAAAAAAACAAAAAAATGGTGAATTTTGAAATCCAATTAAGCAAAATGCATCGATGCGCTTTCTGGCACCTCCATTTGCATCAAATATGCCAAATTTAATTAAATTTCAATTCCCTTTTTGCAATACGTCTATTCGAATGACATTTTATGGACTTGCATCTCTAAAATCAATTTTTATTTTTTTTTCTTTTCATATTTTCAGGTGTGGTTCCAAAACCGACGAGCAAAATTCCGCAAGCAGGAGCGTTTAGCCCAACAAAAAGTCACAAATAGCAATTCCTCATCAAATGGCGATGGAGGCTTATCAGCACATGTAAAAAGTGAAGGAAAGTCATCGTCAAAAGACATTAAACATCCGCCCGGTTCACCATTGTCGAACGTCTCAACGACGCCAAATTCCAGTGCATCATCGCATCAATCCAACAGTGATATTAAACCAATCAATGGTAATTAGTGAAATTAAATTTTACTTTTTTATTGTTATCCATTTAGGGGGGAATGAGAGGTCGTGGGAGGGGAAATTGAATGGCATTGCACGTTCGACATGGCTACTGGCAAAACGAGAGAAAGAAGAATTATGTTTAGATGAAGGGGAATGAATTGAGGACGAGGGAAAATTGATTTTTATTTTGGATTGAGAATTTTTATGTGTGTTTTTGTTATTCATTTTATTTGACTTTCTTGGATGCTTTTGGACTTTAATTTATCACATGATGTGGACTTTAAGGGACTGCTTTATGGGATGGCTGAGAGGATAGCTTCTATTATGAAGCTTGCTATTGGATAATCGACTAATGGGTATCTATAGGAAAGCTCTGTCTTATTGGAGGTTTACATAGCTATTAATGCCCTTACCAGCAATGCTATACCTTAGAAACTAGGCAAATTCAGTCAAAAATGAATCAAGAATGATCAAAACTCAGTAAATCAAATCCACATTCTCAAAACTTCCTCATATTCTCAATTTTAATATCCTTTAAAAGCCTACATCTCTATCCACTCTCATATTTCTGACAGTCTGCCTCATAGTTTTCCTCATTCATAATAGAACACAAACTCTTTTTCACCCCCAAACCCTAGAAATTCATGTTTGTGCCATGCCAATCGTAGAGCAATGTGAAAATCAGTTTTAATTAGATTAACATTCATTTGGGAATGAAAAATATATATATTTTGTGAATTGTGGATGGAGGGGAACGATGTGGAAGGATAAAATAAAATATAATGTTTTGTGAGATTGTGTTGGTGTTGGGGGAGGTGGGGAGGGGTATTGGGAGGTGATAGTAGATTAGAAAAAAATAAGTTGATGACTAAAACGCATTATTGAAGATGTTGGTAAGTTTTTAAGTCACATTTTACATCATTGAGAGGTTCGTGAAGCTATTCAGAGCTATCAAAGGCTTTCCAGGGGTTCTGGCTTAGGGAATCTACTCTAGGATTGAAAAATTCACTTTTTGGACTTGTTCTTAGGGCCACGAAGGGTGTGGAACTGATGAAATGATCAAAAATGATCAGAATTGATCAAAAATTGCCAAAATTTAATTCTTCAGTTCCACACCCTTGAGGTCCACCAGATCACAGTATAATGTGACTCATTCCCTAAATTGACAATGACTCTTGATCCTAGGCTTATCTGCCCCTTATAGAACTAAAATCCACCTCCTCCAAGTCTACATCAATTTAACTCAACTCATCCATTAAATAATCTTCCCAATCCATTGCAATCCATCCTTCATACACAACCAATAAAAATAAAAGCAGCACAAGCAAGTCAATAACGATGATGATCAATAATTTTTTTTTTCACAAAACACAAGAATATTTTCTCCGAAATGGCATCAATATTGGAATGACTTTAATAATTCAGAGCATATTGCTCGCTTCGATTCGATTCCATTTTTCATCTTTTTTGTCTTTGTGTTGGTTGTGGATGTGAGCTTCGATATGGACAATAGAATGAAGACAAATTTGCTGTAATTTGAAACTTTTTCTTTGTTTATTTTCTGTAGAAAAATATTTTTTGGTTTTTCTCGATAGTTGAGTGCAAAAATAGAACGCTGGCACATACACATGTATGAGATTTATGCTGTAAGAGCAATTTTTATGAGTTATGAATTTTGAAATCAGAATTGAGTCCATATTCGAAGCATGCACAGCAGTTCATATTTTTTTCTGGCATTTGTGTGTTTTTATTGAAATTTTTGCTTTGATTTTAGACAGCTGAAGAGGCTTGTACAGTTGAAGGGAGCTGGGTATGGAGATTTAAGGTAGTTTAGGTGCAATTATACTCTCGATTGGGGTTGAATCAAGGTTTAGAAGGTTGCTTTTAAATTATTTGAAGGTCTAGAACAGAATGGGAGGTGTCAGTTGGTTTAGCAAACCTTTTCATTAGCATTTGGACACTCTTGAACTACCTATCCCACCCTGGGCACTCTCCTGATCAACAAACAACCAATAACTCTTAACAAATCAAATCGAAATCACTTAAATTAATTTTTCAATTTTTTTCTCTTCCATTTCATGACAACCAACCACAATCTGACGACCTCGAACCATCAAAAATCACCAACAAATCTAAACTAAACGCACCTGTCAACTATCTTTCAAATTATCAAAACTTCAAAACCCATCAGGCAAGCTTTCATCCGATTCCGACATCCTAAATTCATCAAACAACAACAACAATCACAAGTGGCCGAGCTCCTGCACAAGTCTCCTCCAAAACTCAATAAATTGTGCGTCGTCCAACAACAACTCGCAGTCGAGCATCAATAATAACAATAACAATAGTCTAAAGTCATCAACACATCTGACATTGAATCACAATATGCAGTCGCATCATCATGCATTGACATCTGCACTCTCGTCGCCGTTTAGTTCATTGCTTGGCGCGAGTACTGGTGCTGGATATTTACTCGATCCACTCGGTAATCTGCAGAAATCGGCTGCGTCAAATCATTTGTTCTAATTGAGAATGAAAATGGGGGTGGATGGAGAATGGAAGTGAGGGCTTTTTGGATGTGAGATAAATTGCAGTGTCATGGCTGTAGACGATGAGAAATGAAGTTTTTTTTGTAAAGTAATAAATTAAGTGGATGGAAGCTTATGCGTGGGAGAGAAATTGTTGGGATGAAGATGAGGAGATGTAAAGTTGAGGGGTTGTGCTGGAAGTTCGTACTTGTTTTGGATGTGGTCTGAGTGAGGTCTAGTTTAGGTCAAGCTGAGGTCGGAGTGAGATCTGGGTGTGGGATAGCTGTACCTACCTCTAGTTCACAAAAACTTAGATCTGAGCTTTATATTTGTATTATGAAGGAAAGATCCAACTTATTGTGGATTATGGTGGTTTATTTCAGGTATGGTACTAAGCTCAGATGTAGGACCTAGTTCAGGTTAAGTCCAGAGTCAGGTATACGTGTGATAAAGGTATGTTGTTATCTATGCACTACAGCAGCACATCTAGTAAAGTTAGTAAGGATGGACCATCAAAAATCTCATACGATTGCTCTCTTAAAGCTAGGAAACTGGTCAATAAGCATGATAGGTTAGACCTCAAGAGCTCAAAACCATGACTAGTGTCCATATGAAAATTGTTGTACAATATTATGAGAAAAAATACAAAAGAAAATATGATAAAAATAATATGTAATAAACTTGCCACGAACTAGAAATTGTATATTTTATAAAATAATTAATTTTTGACAAAAAAGTAACATTTAAGATTGTAGGAACTAATTTTAAGCTTAATAATAGGACTTTAGACTGTATAAATTGAAACTTAATGTATACTATTTCGGTACGGTTAATAAATACTAATAATGAAGCCACTGGATATGTCAGGAGAAGGCAAAGGATTCATTGAATTTAAATGAGGCACAATAAAGGGCTAATTAGAGGCGTTGCCAGGGGGAAAATTTGTTTTTTTTTCAAAAAACCATAGAAAATCGAAGAAGCTTTTCAAAAAAAAGAGGGGAGGGGTTGACCTCAGAAACCCCCATTTGCTACTTTTCTTTCAATAGATGCCAAGATCCGTTAAGGATCCCGAAGCTTAAGCTTTTTGCTATGAACACAATAGTTGACCATTACAGAAAGTCTTCTCATCACAAAAATTACTCTCAGAATGAGTCAAATCCTAATTAAAAATTCACACGCACCCCCATCCCAACCCCAAACTTCATATCCCACTAATTCCCTCAAGAATTCACGACAATATCCTGTCTAATAATCATGTGAATGTCCACTTAACGAACAAAAAATAAAGCACACATTAAATAAAAAGCAAACAGCGGCAATTTGGAAAATTATTCTCATATTTTGTGTCCGAGCAAGCACTTTATATTAATCACGGTCAAGTCTGCCAATTAGCCAACAGCAGCATCAGTAACAGCTTTATAAAAAAAATTATAAAAAATTAAAAAAACGTCCATCAAACAAGCGATGCTAATGATGATGATTAATTGATGTATACGAGGAGGATGAGGGAGCATCAAGCATGAAACACAGAGTGTCTATATGAAATTTTTATTATGCATATGATTGAAAGACATGAAAATGAGGGAAAGCATGTTGATATATACGAGATATATTATCGTAATGATTTTGACGACGACACAGGCACAATTTTTTTATTTTCTTTTTTTTTCGTGCAGCTGAGACTGCTGAATTACGAGATGGATTTTATTTATGCTCAGATAGCTTCTTTTTTGATGTGCTTAGGCACATGAGGTACAGTTTTTGATGATGCTTGGGAAACTTTTGTTTGATTGATAATTTTGATAATAATTTTTGAAGCAAAATGAGAAATTTAAGAGCGCCTATTTCATCAATTTTGGTAACATCTTCTATGGGTTTATTGATCATTTCTTAAAGCCCTCGGGTACGAGTTCCCTATCGGAACTTCGGCTTTACTTTTAATTCAATAAAAGAAGGCTTTTAGGTTTTGATCTCTTGGTTGTAAATATCTGAAAATAATCAATAAAATGCTGAAAAAAAAATTAATAAAATATCATAAGTAAGTCCATCCTAGAGGTGTAGTCAGAACTTCGTTGAAAGAGAACGGGGTTGGGAGAAGGATCATCAAAGCTCGTCGTTAAGCCAACCTTCTTCTTTTGTCTACGCCTCTGGTTCATACAATTCGAATCAATCAATGAAAGAGAGTCATAAAATTGTTCAGAATAAATTATTATCAGGAGGGAAACGACTTGTTGCAAAAACTTTTAACCATCTTCGTCCTTTAATTTTCTAAAAATATCTGACTTTGGAATGACAATGATGGAACTAGTGACGAACTTTTAGAAAAATAAAACAATTATGATGGGAATTGTGAGAATTCTGAATCAAATTTATTACCCACCAAGTTGTTACCCCCTTGAGATTTTGTGAATATTTCCATGATCCTTAACATTGATTCCAACTGAATTTAATACGAGAAAAAAAATACGATAGTCAACAAAGAGATACGAAGATTAGAGACATGATGATAACAAATGTATACTTGCAGTATACTCAAAATTTATATATATATTATTAGATTTTTAAGCAAAACTTTTAAAAAAAATTAAGAAATTAAAAAAGAAATTTTAGAAATTTTTAATTATTAAGATACAAAAGAAAAAATAATAATCTGTAAATTTAGTGAATTTAAATAAAAACAAAACAAATTGAATGAAAAAATATTAAAAATAAAGTTTTTTAATTTAATTCTGAGAAAAAAAAACTTCACCTTTAGGTCAAACTACAAAACAACCCCAAAAAATTATGAGCACGACTAGCAAAAAAAAACTTTAGTTTTTCTTCTTCTTCCATTTTAATTACGCAAATCTTCCATCATTTTTCTTATTTTTCCTTATTTTTTCTGTTCTTGTTCATTTATTATATCAGAAATGGGGGAAAACTTTATGGAGTGAGAAGTCGAAATGGGATTTTTTTTTGTGAATTGGAGTGAGTCAATGTGGATGAGGAAAATAAGAAGAAATTGTTATTGCGCAATGAACTGAATAAAAAATTTTTTTTTGAATCCTTGTGAGGAAATATTGTTTAAAATAGGGAATAAACTGATCAAAATTAAGCATCTACTTGACTGAAATTGAGCATCTAATTGACTGAAACTGAGCATATACTTGACTAAAACTGAGTATCTACTTGACTAAAACTGAGCATATACTTGACTAAAACTGAGTATCTACTTGACTATAACTGAGAATCTACTTGACCGAAACTGATCATCTGCTTGACTAGAACTGATAATCTACTTGGCTCAAACAGAACACCTACTTGAATTTAACAGACAACATCATTATTAAAACTGAGCACCTACTTGATTAAAAGAGATCATCTACTCTTGAAACTAAGCATCATTTGATTAGTACTGAGCATCTACTTGACTGAAACTGAACACCTACTTGACTAAAACTTACCATGTACTTTACTGAAACTGAGCACCTACTTGATTTGAATTGAGCATGTACTTGAATAAAACTGAGAATCTACATGACTAAAAGTGAATATAATTCAGCATAACTTGACTAAAAGTAAGTAAAACTTGACAAATTTCTTCAATTTTCTTCCCCATCAATCTTCCACTTGACTAATCTTCAGTAATTCCCACCATCCTCAAATAAAAAAGTACAGCAAAGAAGCGAGAAAGCATTCATTAGCTCAATCGATGCCAATCAGACAATATTTGTTAATCGTACGACTCGAAAATGAACAGCAACGAGAGAAAAATAAAACTTTAAAAAAAGTTTCTTGATTGTCTTTTCAATTTTCCAGTCCAAAAAGATTTTTTTTTCTTCTTCTTCTTTTTCTAATCAAGCTTTTGTGTACATTTTTGCCGTTCTCAATGACTGTGATTGATTAATACTTTGTTCTTGGCAATTGCAATGTTCCTCAATACGCAATCACTTGGTAAATGAGAATTTTTGCTTTTTTTACTTAATTTAAAGGAATTGGAGAATTAATGACACCAACAATGTTGGTATTAAGAATGCTTTTGGGACCGCCTACATGCGCAGATGATGGAATTTTTGAGATTGAGGGGACTTGAGAGAGAATTGTGGATTGTTTTGCAAGATTTTTGAATTTTGATTCTGATGGTTGAGAAAGTATGAATCGTGATGGTGCCTATAGCGCCATCTGTGGTACAAAAGCTGTAAAATTGAACTCTGGTACCTAATTTTGAAATTAAAGTTAACGGAAAATTGAAAAATCTTTTTCAATTCGAAATTGTATTCAATAATTGGGTGCTGAATGTTAATGTGAGAGAGGGAATAGAGAATGGGCTTTATAAATGACTTTAAGAAAGGTGTCAATGATACTTACAGTTCACATGGCCACACGAATCACTTAAAGACAATAAATTGCTCGAAAATTAATTTTTTTATTCATTTCTTAAAAGATTATTACAAATTTTTGGCTAGTCAGCAGTTAATAAAGACACCGAGAATCCTATGGAATATGACACATGCTAGTGGCAAAGCAAAGGAGCGGGTAATCAAGAGTTCAACCGTAGGTTTGATGCCACCTTTGCTACGTCACTAATACACGCAGAGCTTAAAGTCAACTCGAATTTCGATAGTTTGTACTTCCTACAAAATGTATGTCGGCTTCAAGCTATGCGTGATGATATCCAAATGAACAGTATCAGTGTTAATCATGCCTTGTCAGACTTTAGTAAGTTAATCTCATTTTATGGCACCAAAATCAGAGCTCTTAAGCTCAAATTCTGCTTATAATTTTATTTTTTTTTTATAATTTTTTTATTACATTTTATTTTGTGATTTATTTCATAAATCGGCCATTATGCTCAACATTCGGTCACTTTAGTCAGCATAAACTTAATTTTATTATTTTTCAAGCGCTCAGTATCCCCAAAGAATCATGTCTGACGAGATATTGAGGCTTTATTTCTGGCAATTTATTGTATAACTTGCTATTTGAGGATATTCTGGAGCATCCACATCTCCTGTTATCCTTTAAATCTATTTAAAATTCGCCTGCCTTCATACCTCTTGTTATTTGCTCAATTTTATTATCAAGAGCTTCAACCTTGTCAAGTAATGTCCAGTAAATCTTTTCATTTAATCCAGTCAAGTAGTCATTAAGCTTATCGAATCTAGAACCGAGAGTGTAGCTGTCCTTAAATGCTGAGCTTACAAATTTAGTCTTAAATTCTGCAAATTCAGCCTTGAAATTCTTAAGTTCCCCTTTTTCGATGCCTGCCTCGAGTTTCTTTAAATCTTCGTCAAAATGTATAAATTCTGAGCTTTTGCATTTATTTTTAACGACCGGAATGAGTGAATTGACACTTTTTGTGCTGTTTTCTGAGGCATTATTGATGCACTTATTCGAGCCTAGATACAACCATGATAAATTCTTAAGGTTGTCGAAAACATTTGGGTGGATATGAAAGATCTTATTGCCATGGAACGAGATGTACTTAAGTTTTGGATTAAATTGGAAAAGACCATCCTCAAGAACCTCAATTTCACATTCATGCAAGATAAAATGAACTAACTTTAAAAATGGCTTTAAATCAGATTGATGGATTTCCTTAGTACCCCCACCCCAAATAGCAATAGCCTTAAGATTAGGAAATAATTTATCAACTGCTTGTGGGAAATATTTTACAGTTTTGTTCAAAAAGTATATAGCACCAACGTCCTTGCCTGTTTTGCCATAACCGTGCTTGCCAACAGCCTCATCAATAGTTGCAGATTGTCTTGAGAAGATGTCGAGGTCATATTTTGAGTCACAGTAGTAAAGATCACCAACGGCTTCAAAATAAGCGGATGCGTAGTCGCATTCAATGTTTAGTGATGATAAGCGGTCTATTAATGGGAATAGAAGGCAAATGATGAACCTAAAATGAGAGAAAAAAGATAAGAAAATGTTGTTTTTGGATTAAGTTTTTTTGGAAATTAAAGTTTGGCATGGGGGTGGGCACTTGCAGTTGATTATTTGAGTTTTAAAAAATCCATTTTACTCTTTTTAAATTATTTAAACTTTTTTGAAATTATTGTAATTTTTTTAATATTAACTTGGATTTTTAAAAAACATTTTAAAATTTTTTAAGTTATTTATACTTTTTTAATTTTTTTCTGGTCTTTTTAAAATTATTTTGAACTTTTTAAAATTGTTTTTGAACATTTCAAACTTATTGTGATTTTTTAAAAATAATTTGGATTTTTTTCAAAAATTTATTTAATCTTTTTAAAGATATTTTTGGTTTGTAACATTTTTTTGGACTTTTTTAAATTATCGTGAATTATTTGAAAATTTTTTAATTTTTTTTTAAAATTATTTTCTATTTTTAAATCATTTTTTAATTTTTTTATTTTTAAAATAAATTTATTTGAACTTTTTTGTATATTTTAAACGTTATTAAAACATTAATTTAGACTTTTTTATATTTTTTAATAATCAATAATTGTTGTTGCTTATTTAATTTTAAAAAAAAACATGTGTTTTCAAACATTCAATCTTAAAATGATTCAAATTAACAAACTTACCAAAAGAATTTCATTATTTTAAATGACTTCGATGCTCTTCTTAGTAATGTTTACAGATGTTTCCCGTTTATTTATAAAGATCGCTCCAATTTGATAGTTAAACAAGGCAATAACTCTCACTTCCTGCCTATATATTATATTTCACAAACTTAAATTCCTTCACTGATTTTATGCAACGTCTTATTGTTCTAACAGATTTGAGAAGAGTGAATGCAACATAAATGGAAAAATTAATCTATAAAAAAACTTTTTACTCTCTCCGCTCGAAATTTAAAATTTTTTAAAAATCATTTTACAATTTTTTATTTTCAGGATCACCCTGTATTTCCATAATATGCGGGTATGAGCTAGCGGCATAATGAAGATGATGAGAATGATTCTTGAAGAAACTTAAAAAAAATCTAAAGTGAAACTTACTTAAATGATGTTTTAGGTTGCATCCTTTTTTGGTGGACTGCTGGGAGTCAAAATGGGAAACGGAAGGGAGAAGGGGGAGGGGGGAAGGGAGGAAGGGGGTAAGTTCTAAATTTTTTTCTAGACTATATTTAATCTTTTCAAGGAAAATTATTTTTTATTTGAAAAAGTGACTGACTTAATATACAACTTGCACCTATTGACTGCATACATGCATCTAACAGTGTAGTCATGCTCTCTTTATCTCGATCTTATGATCTTAACCTCTGTGGATCTTAATCCCTTAACAAATAGGAGAGTTTAAACGATGTTTGGTGTCCGGAGTTAAATTCAAATTTAAAATGAAGTTTTAAGTCATTTTCCCGTGGCACCTCTGGCTCAAACCCCGGTTGAATCCATCCTCATGAACCACAGCTAACATTTTAAAAGAAAATCATCAATTCAGGTTCATTAAAGCAGCCATCCACATTAACTCTCTATAAATAACGCAACTAATGATAATTACACTTTTTTCAGCATCACTGAGTTAGGTTATCAACCTCAAATCTGCAATTCATTTAATTAAAGAGATAAAAAAAAAATCTTGGATTATCGTATACAAATTTTCAGTATATTCTTTATTTGCTTCCTGTTATACAATTTCAGCAGCTTCAAACTAATCATTTTTGCTGCAGTTTATTGAATTAATGTCAATTTCATTACAGCTTTACTCAAATTGTTCTTGTTCAAACTTAGCTCGCGCTGCTTTCTTTGGTTCAAAATCTTACTTTTTGAGGATCTCCTATGTCAGTTTTATCATATAAATTGATGCTTAAGAGGCTAGGCCTTTTCCAACATTCATCTTCTTATCCTTTGGTTCATTTGATGGGTTTTCCGATATGGCAAGTCATTTTAATTAATATCCTTAACTGGCAGAAGCTTTCGGATGATAGAACTGTCTTTATTCGATCTCTAAGCGCTTCAGCCAAGGAAGTGAATTTATGAATTGTCTCGTGAATAAAGAGACTTTAACAAGCTGTTGTAAAACACAATTATTAGATTTTTCATTGAAATTTGTGATGAGTTTTCTTGACTTTGAGCGTCAACAGTGCCAATTTTATTCCATGTCTCATCAAGCACAGTCTTTAACTCGTAGTTTGCATACTTGATGACTTGTTGAGCAATCAAACTTTCAGTACTGGAGATGCATTTCATCAGAGACTCATTATCAGGTATTTTAATATTGGGAGATTTAATTCCATGCTGCACAGAAGCTACAATTTTATCTGTTTCAGCTTGTAATGAGAAATTGACGATTAAATCTGTTAATTTTATTGTGAATGTGTCTTCATCAAATGTTGTTGTGTCCAATGGATCAAGAGCTGCTTTGTATCTTCCTTGGATGTATAACTTTGGGTAGATTAGCTTCAGATTCTTATTAAATGCACTGAAATTAAAGAAAATATTTAATTATTGAAAATTGATGAAAATCAGGCACTTAGCCAGGAGGGTCTTGTCCCCCTTAAAGGGGTTGAACTGCAGCGAGAGCACGGGGATGAAAATCAAACTTTTTTCAGGCTAAAGGAACTAAGAACTTAACGATTCTGAAGCTGATACTGTTTAAAAATCAATTTGATTTTTGCTCAAAAAAGATAAATCTTAGGGCAGACATTTCAGCCTTTCCAGCCTTTTCAGCTGGAAACATCGTGATTCGGATATGTTTCTTGGTCACCCGAAAGGAATTTTTAACTCACCAAATTTGATAACGTTCCAATCCAGTCAACTTAATTGATGAAAATTCAACATTTTTTAAACATTCTGCATTTAGTTCTTTTCCTAAGATCTTGTCGACGAGCAAATAACCATTCTTGTGATGATTTAGTTTTGTTTCAACTTGTGAGCTATCAAGGCACTTGAGCATAGCTGACAATTTAATTAAAATATTGAAATTATAAGATCAAATGCTTGTCGCCAAAAGAAAACAATTGCAAAAACTTACGAGCTGCACTGATTGATCCTAATTCAATTATAAGTAAAAATGCAATAAACTTCACATTTTTTTGTAACATTTTAAATTTTTTTAATTTTTTAACAAATTAAAAAATAATTTAATTATTTTCCAACAAAAGTCCTTCTTCGGAAATCAATTGTTTCACTTCAGCAGTTTAATAAGCACTAAATAATTTTGACTACAAACTCTGCGATTACACTTGCCATTTAATACTCAATATCAAATCCGAATTACGTCAATGGATTGCAAATTTATCATCTTTTCTCTATTTTCTTCGAGATCAGCGACTTAATGGACATCAAACCAGAGCCAAATTACACAAATTGCTACGTAAATGCTAATCCAGATTTTTGGAGTCGATCCTGTAATCTGGCGATCAAGGAATCAAAAAATTCTCACGGTTTTGTGGTTCAGATATCAAATTTTTATTTGTCCGCAGTGTCTGTTTTTTGGTGAGGCACAATTTACGTCAATTGTGAGCATTTTCGGACGATAAGAACCAAAACAGATGCATTGAGCATCACAAGATATCAAATATTTATGAATTAAGAGTTTAGTCATAGAAAGTTGAAAGTGTAGACGTAAATTGAAGTTTTTGGGAGTTTTGAAAATGGCAAACAAGTTTTTGGATTGATTATTGTTGAAAAATTGTATCATGGTTTTTAGGGGCTGTTCATAAATGACGTTCTTTTAAAAACAGAAATTTTTCAGACCCCCTTTCCATATTTCACAAAATCGGAACGAATAAAAAGTTCTTTTTATGGTTGAACTTTCACAAAACTCCAGAACCCCTCCCCTGATATGATTGGACGTCATTTATGAACGGTTCTTATACTGATGATTGATCGTGCATTGATAGTTTGGGTAGTTAAATTATTTATACATTATATAAAAGCCTTGACAGAGCATCGCTTCTTAAAATGAGAGGATTGCTTATTTAGATGGCGTTTAGATTGCTGGAGCTTATTGGTTCTTCATAAATGACGTCTAGGGTTTAGAAAGTGGAGAGGCAGCAGGATCTTAGTTTGTGTAACGGTTCAAAAATAAGTTCTTTTTCTTCACAAAAATTCTGTAACAAATGGATGCCTAAAAATCTTCGTTTTTTGTGGGACGGATTTTATGAATAGACCCTCAACAGTAGCTGGATTATCAATGAATGAATTCGAAAAAGTGAAATTTGATGAAGCGAAAAATTGATTAAAATGATGAAATTTGATATTCTAATGCTTAGATGAGCAACCTTTTGGATCCATGGGGGGAAGAGGGGAAGAGGGGAAGAGGGGGAAAGGTAAAAAGGGGAAAAGGGGAAAAGGGAGGGGGAAGGGGAAAAGGCGGTCTTTAATCTAAGTATTCAAAAAGAAATTTCAATTGCACTTATTTATTTAATAAATAACTTAAATCCAATCATTAATGACTTAAAACTTAATCAATTGAGATCCATCTCGTGTCTTCACAAGACTTAAGTATCAAATCGTAAAAAAAATGTCTTAATTGTAAATTTAACCTTTTTCCGTTTGTTGCAAGTTCCAATGTCAAGTAAACTGTGAACTTTTAGTAGCTCACACAAATTTATTTTCCAACAATTCTGTTGCTTTTTTTGATATAAATTTATCAAGCAAATTTGGAGTAGCTGAAACGCATTTTTTGAGTGCTTCATTGGCGATCTTAGTTGTTATGTCTCCATGAACTTTCACACTTGTCACCTTCATAATTTGATTGTTACTCAATTCAATATTTAGCTTTACATTCGGCAAACTTAGTGAGAACTCATTTTCATGGTGATATTCATCTTTGTAAAGTCCAGTAACAATTAAGTTTGAGTAGTTTAAAGTATTTCCATCTAGGTGATTCCTTAAAAAAATATGAAGAATTAAAAAATAGCTTTGAAATCAGAACTTTAAAGTTTCTATTGATAATCAAGCTTGAAATAAAAATTAGACCTGCCCATAATGCGTTTGAGCCAATCAGAGTTGAGTGTGATGAAAAACTTTAAATTGTGCTTTTTTATAAAAAGGTTTGGAATCTGTGGTTGAATTGAAAACTGTGTGGAATTTTTTTGTATCCTCGAAGTCTTCCTATTCAGAGCTCGAAGTCAGCAGGAGTTTTATATTTAGTCAACTCAAACCAGGGGTTTAACCCCTTTCAACCCATCCCTTTGTTTTACTTTCATTTACTATGGAGTCGTCCTAAAACAACGGTTATTCCATGAAATTCTATTGTTTTGAGTTCTAAACTCTTTTGGACGTAATTTATAAATGCCACAATAGGTTTATTAAGAAAATAAAACCAACCACCCCCACCCCCCACGATGAGATGGAACTTTAACATCAAAAATTCCTCATCCGGTTGTGTTCCCCTTGAGTAAAGATAACTTGATTCAGGGCTGTTCACATATGACGTCGGAAGAGGAAGGGGGGGGGGGACCAACACCAAAAATAGTTTTGCAGAAAATTCACAGTCTGTCGTTCTCACCCTGATTTACAGAAAACCTTAATTTGCTTAAGCCTTTATGTTTTAGCACCAAGACACTAAGTTTGATCGAAAATTATCGTGAAATGACCCCTTCAACTTATGCAAATGACACCTTTTCCATGCTGTGTGACAATTGTGATACAAATTATTTCTTTAATTGTATGAAAAATTCACACATCGAATTATTGATTTGAAATAGTTTAATAAAAGATATGTAACAAGTGTGATGTACAGCAGTATAGTTTTGTCTGAAGGCAATGTGATTCCCTCATCAATAAAGTGACAAGTAACACAATAAATTATGAATTAAAATGATGAAATTTTATTCCGGTTTTCCCATCGCGAATTAATTGAAGCATAAATTAACTTTTTTTTGGATTATTTGATAAGAAAATTTTAGGATTTTTTTTTGTTTTTGTATCGAATTTCTCACGTTGACCCCAAAGATCAATGGCATATTGAAAGGAAATTTATTCATAAATGTATTAATATTTTTCTCTCGCATATTTACCTCAATTTTCTGAGTCCACTGATATTTATATTAAAAAACACCACATCTAGATGTTCAGTCTTCAAACATCCGCTAAGTTCACTTCCTTTGATATTATCATTTAGGGTTAGATCTGTCTTGAATAGAGTAGCTGAAAGGATTAAGAAATAAAAATTTGCTAGGACTTTTTAAAAATTTAAGATTTTTTCGGGAATTTTTTTAAAAAATTCAAAATTTCAAAATTTAAAATTATTTTAAAAAAATAAAAAAAAATTTGAAAAATTTGAAGAAAAATTCAAAATCAATTTTAAAATCATTCAAAGTTTTAAAACTTATAAAACTAAATGAAAAAAATAAAAACAACATTTAAGTTTAAAATTTCAGTTTTAATAAACCAAAAAAAAAAAAATAAAAAAATTGATTCGAAGTAATTTTGTAATTTAAGATTTTCTACTGTTTAATTTCACCATTACTTTCATTTTATTTCACCTAATAAATTTATTATCTTCAAATATCCAAATGTATTAATTTCAAATTCAACGTTTTCTTATAAAAATTCTTCTACCAAAAAAAAGCTTCAATCCACTCCAAAAACCGCATAAACAAATATGAACGCAAATCAATTCCGATTGGATGAAATGAAAAAAAAAGCTGTTTTTCTCAGATAAGATTTTTACTTACGATTAGCTGAGCTTGTTGTAATTATAATCATTGTTATTAAAGCAGTAGCTTTTATAGATTCAGTGAAGCTTTTCAGGCACATTTTTAATTTTATAAATTTTAAAACTTTGATTATTTTTTGAGGAATTTTGTAAAAAAAAAATAAATTTATATTTTTGAATTTTTTTCAAACTTGTTTGAATTGAACTTTTTTTTGTTTTGATATTTTTTTCAACTTTTTAAAATTTTTAAAAAATAATTCTCATTTCAAAAATTCACATCTTAATGCCTTCAATTCTCTCTTAATACTGCCGTACTCGATACAATCATACAATGCCGTTAATTTATTTTGAAACGATAAAAAACGTGGTGAAATTAAGTATTTGAATTTCACTAACGTTTATCAAAAAAGTCTGATTTATTTCATAATTTTTTGAAAGTTATTCAATGATTGTGAGTGGTTTCAAGTTCTTAATACTGGAATTTGCTTGTTCCTTCCTCTTCCCACTCAGACGTCACCTAAAACTGATTCAATCACCTGCAACCACCTGTCAATTATTAACTCCTAGTGCAAGACTGCCTATATCAGCAGTTACTAAGCTTCTAACATGCAAGCTACCTTCCATAATCTTGTACAGGCAGTAAACTGCTTAATGTACGAGATCAAGCCATAATTTGGCTCTTTAGGCAACATACAATTAAGGAACGGGTCATAAACTTTAAGTATAGCAGAACGAATAGGAACCAATGATACAAAAATATGTTACAAATGAAATAGTGCCTGGACGGACCTAAAAAATATCATGTCACGCCCACAGGATCTTTTTTTTCATTTTAATTGCAAATTATTGCATTTATTGACGACATACTGTCCGGTAATAATTCACATTTTAAACTTTTGTATTTGTATACATATGAATTAATATTATGTAGGATCAAACTGCTAATCTTCAAATCAAGGTTTCAAATAAACTAAGGCTCTCGTTTCGATCTTCTGTAGGCGTTACGTGATACTTTTCAGGTCCGTTCTATCAATATTCCATTCGTGGGTAATCTTGGAGCTCTCGTTCCTATTTCTTTCGCTACACTTCAAGTTCCTGACCCGTTCCTTAATCCAACGTTGCCCAAATGCCCAATTATGGCTTGATCTCGTACATTAAGCAGTCGAAGTATCTAAACTTCTGAAAAAGAACAAATTTGGAAATGGCTGGATTCGAACCGACGACCTTCGAGTTACCATCCCAAATTTGAGCCAAGCGCCTTACCTTTTCGACCAGCAAGACACTTAACTGCTTCTCGATAGCTTAAATGTATTAAACTAGTGTATCGGGTAGAAACCCAATGCGGATTATATTCACACCGTACTATCATAAGTCTAATGGATAGACCAAGATTTGCCCATCAATAGTATGGAGGTATGAAGCTTGATAAGTCAACTAAGCTTCGCTCAGCATAAGTTGAAGTTATAAAGCTATCGCGTAAGCTGAGCTACGCTCAGCATAAGTTTGAAGATATAAAGCTAGAGTGTCAGTTGAGCTACGCTCAGCATAAGTTTGAAGATATATGTAAAGCTATCGAGTCAGCTGAGCTATGCTCAGCATAAGTTTGAAGGTATAAAGCTTGACGAATATGCCAAATATTCTTTAAAAGTTTTTTAAAAAATTTTTTTATCCAAAGTTGAATTTTATAAAAATCACAGTCAACTTTTGTTTTAAAAATTCGTAAGAAAGGAAAGTTTTTTGCCATTTCTGAAGCAACGGCTGTTCCTACCTTGCCCAAAAACAATACAGCTCTTCTATAGAGTAGCACGGATCAAATGTAAAAAACTAGAAGTCTCTACGATGTCTCGTTATTGAGATTTCTTGCTGATTAACTTGCTTGCTTGCTTGCTTGCTTGCTTGTTTGCTTACAGAAAGCCTATTTTGCGATTTTCTCAGCAATGCCACAACCAATTTGAAATCTGTTTTTTGAAAATGATGTAAAATTTCAGGCACAAACTTTTCTTCTTGCCCTTTTATAACCAATTTTGCTTTGTTTTCTCACAAAATGCGAAAAACTGATTTTTCAATCTGAACAAAACCAATAGATTCACACGTGAAAACGGTGTGAATATAAAAATCAGTTTTTTAATGTATTAATAAATTTATTTTGTAAATTTCAACAATTATAATAAATTAAGTAAATAGATTTGTAAGTTTTTTTTTAAAAAGTATCAAAATTTTTGAGATCAACCAAGCACGGCCCTAACTTCCTTAATCGAATTTAACATAATGTTATGTAATTTAAAACAATTTTATCCAATAATGATTCAACTTCTGACACACATTTTTGCAAAGCATCACTTTCAGGAATCAAAATGCTTCCAACAGTCTCAACTGCAATCGTGTCTTTATTACGGCTAAACTTCATTTCAAAGTCATTGGCATGGAATTCATCACTAAGATCGCTGTCATCGCTGCTTTTGATCACTCCTTTAATTGTGACTATTTGCTTCTGTTTGTTGTCTAAATTAATGTCGAATTCAGTAAAATCCTTCAAGTGAAATTGTAGTTCAGAAACTCCTATTTTTGTGCAGCTTGGTTCATTGTTTAATTTTAGTGTAAATTTTTCATTTATTGCTGGAAATTTAAAGAGAGTTTTTTTTCTTAATTTTGGTGAAATAAAAGGATGAAAATTGGAGTTGGGGCTCAGGGGCGTAGCTAGGAAATTTTTTAACGCATTTTTTGAAACTTTTTTTGAAAAGGTAGCTTAATAATTCACTTTGTTCGTTCGTTCGTTCGGGCGGAGAAAAGCTTTTTAACTGGACATCGTAGAGAGTTCTAGTTTGTTTTATTAGCTCAGGAGGGGAGGGAGGGGTGTCCACTCTTGGCTGATGTTACTGATGGGAATTTACTTACGTTTAGTTGAGCACAGATTGATTCCGATTAGGAGAATGAGTGAGGAAATTATCGATAATTTGACGATTTGAATCATTTTTAAATTAGAATCTTTAAAATTTGAATTTTTATATTTTATATTTTAAAAAAAAATTTGTATTAAAAAATTAAAACTTTTCTATTTTTGAAAATTTGTGTTTCTTGATTTTTTTCAATTTTATTTTAAAAAAACTTGATTCAATATTTTTTTATTATTTTAATGACTATATTTATACTTCCTAACCTCAACTTCACAATTGATACCCAAGATATGCATTTTCAGCTTTATATTTCAATTAATTTCGCCACAATTACCTATTGCACCAATTATACTCTCACATACAGAGCATATAAAGCCTTATGTACTACATTGTTTATAAGGAATTTTTAATTTTTTTCTCTTTGTATTTTACTACGTCACATTCATGCTGTATTTCAAATGCATACAATGAAGTCACCCGCGATAATCAAGCTTCATTCATAAAATACTCAAAATGAAGGCGTTTTTTGTGGTAAATGTGATGATGTAAATTAGGGTTTTTAATCTCGGGATTAAAATGTACTGAAAGCCGGGTTTGATCCCGGGATTACATACGTTTCAATCCCGGGATTGAAAACCCTAATGTAAATAGAACAATAATTTTTTTAATGCAGCAAGTCTCATCAAAATAAATGTTCCAAAAGGAGTATGCTGGAATTTCAATTTATTTAAATTGTGATGAAATTTTGCTTCAATTATTATTTTTAAGTTCAATAATTTAGGGTTGTCTAGTTAATCCAGTGTTTCTCAAATTTGGCTCCTTGGAACCGAGATGAGAAATTAAATAAAAACAGCAATTTTCAAGGCGTGGAAACTCAGAATCCCAAAAATCCAAAAAAAATCTGCTGAGCCAATAAACATGAAAATGTGAAATCCCGAAGTTATTCATCAATGGCTTCAGGATTTAAAAGGAATTTTTTAAGAATTCTTAGGATTTTTCAGGATTAATTCTGAGTTTACACACCTTGGCAATTTTAATGTGTTCAACACTTTTTTGTCATTCATTCTTGTCCGTCTTCGTCAAATTTATTCCTTGTTTCTCATTATTTTTGTTAATTCAATTATGATTTCGCCATGAAGCTGTTCAAATTAAAATTAATTGGTTTTTTTTTGAGTCAACTCAAAAATGAATCAGTTTTTTTATGTTATTACATGGGAAAAATAGTACATTTATGACAAATTTTTGAAGACAATCGTGACTTAAACAAGGAAGTTGATTTAAAATTACGTGAAATTGAGTCAAAAAAATAATTATCATGATTTAATAACTTCAATGAATCAACATATCGCATCAATTTAGCTTAAAGGGATAAGTTTGGAGTCGAAAGCGTAACCAGAAGGATTAATATGAATACTGAAGACTTGAAGCGGTCAGGAACGTTGCAAAAGGGAGGGGAAGAGGAGATAAAGCATGTACCCAAGATGCTCCGAAGTTGTTTTCTTCAAAATTTACATCCAAAGTGGCATCAATTTTCAATTTTACTCCAGGAGCCTTGAATGAACCTAGCAGCGTCTTGGAATGAAAATTAAGGGCTAAGCCGTACCTTTGATGCGATACAACTAAGGAAGTTGCCAAGAAAGATTTTTAAGTGAGTTGGGGGAGCGGTTTAAAATTAAATAAGTTGAGCTTCCTAAACCCTTTTCACCACCTCTCTGGCTGCTACCTTCTGGAAATGAACATTTTCTAGTATTTATTTGGAAATTATGTTACCTCCCCCCTGAAACCCCTCCTCCCCCTCCCATTTTCATCCCGCAAATTTTTTGGATTTTTAATTTTTAAATATTTTGTTTTGTGATCAATTTCATGCGATTTTCCTCATAAACACAATCTTTGTCATTCAGTTTTTTTTCCTCTCTTGACACTCTCTCATAGTCATTATTCATCTATCGTGCACGAGATTGTCTCGTGTGTTTTTCTTAGACTGTATTATTTTTTACGTAGTTGAATAAATAACAAGCTAGTAAAACAAACAACGTGCTTAGTTTTAAAAAAAAATGTTATAAGCAGATTGGCTCAAATTTGGTATGATAACTCGAAGGTCGTCGGTTCGAATCCAGTCATTTCCAAAATTGTTCTTTTTCAGAAGTTTAGATACTTCGACTGCTTAATGTACGAGATCAAGCCATAATTGGGCATTTTGGGCAACGTTGGATTGAGGAACGGATCAGGAACTTGAAGTGTAGCGGGAGAAAAAGGAACGAGAGCTACAAGATTACCCACGAATGAAATATTGTCAGAACGGACCTGAAATGTATCACGTCACGCCCACAGAAGATTGAAACGAGAGCCTGAATTTAATCGAAACCTAGATTTGAATATTAGTAGCTTGATTCTATGTCACCCATAGTGATATGAAATGTATCACTAATCAATGTAAAAAGTAAAACATGTATAAATACTAATTCTTCCGGACGGTAACGTCGACAAATAAATAATAATAATAATAATAATAATAGATTTGCCTTTAATTTTGAGTATGAATTCAACTGTTTTAAATTTATTCTGAGAAAGGATTAGCGGGAAAGTAGGAAAGCTGTAAAGTAAAAATCAAAGTTCTGATGTTCGCTCAGCTGCTGAAGTTTTATTCTAGGGCGGTCCTTAGCTCCTCAGTGAGCTGAAGTGGTTCAGTAGTGGAATGGTTTAGTACTTCGGTACCAAATTATTGCAATACCGACACAGCGATCATGGGTTCGAGACTGGGCATGAAAATTTTTCACTTGTCCTTTTTCGAATCATATGTACTGGAAATGAGACTCACAGCCTTCCTTTGTAGGCTACAGGCAGTAATGTCATCAAAGAAGTGGTTCGGATCCCACTATAAATTGTAGGTTTAGGTTTGAGTGCAGTGGTTTGGCGCATCCTCACTCGTTAAACTCTCATTAGCTGCGAAACGCCTTAGAGCACCTCTGGATCGCAATTGATCTACTTTACTTAGCTCCTCATGTCCTTGAATTAAATATCAATGACAAACATAAATTCAAAATATTGAAAAATTACATTTTTTGCCTTTTTATTTCCAAACAATAAACATGATTTAATTTTTAATTATTCATAAATAATTTTGATGTATATGTTCATAAATAAATATTTAATATTAGGTATAAATCTTAAATTATTAGGTATGCATGAATAAGTATCAAAAGAAATTTATCAATCTAGATTCTTTGGTAAAAGATAAATCACAGGTAAATGTCCGAGATCTGGGCTGATTTAATTTTGTTGTAGGTGGTTTAAGGGTCTTAACTAGGTAATAAGTTATTAAAGGTATTAAGCTGTAGGCTGAAAACAAAATAGTTGTCTTTTAACTGCAGTGATGTCCATCCATTCAAATAAAGTGACTAAAATAGTCAATTTTCCTCAAAAATTGTGATTTTTCAAAAAATCCACCAATTCTATCACTTTTCCCTTAAATTGATTTCCAATTGCGCCAATCAAGTCAAAGCTATGCAAGCATTGCAACAGTCTATCATTTGGTTGATTCAATTCGAACTCTTTGAAGCTTCCAGTAGCTTTGCCAAATGCTAAAGGATTATTAAACAAATTAATCTTAACACTTGAGTATGCGAGGACCTCTTTAGCATGCCAGATGTTGTAGTAGCTGTCATTATATGTAAATGAGACAGTAACGATTGGATATGTCACATGAACTCCTGAATTTGTGAAGCTAGAAAGAAAGAAATTTAAAAAAATATTAAAATTTGAGACATGTTTTTAAATTTTTTAAGGTTTAAGAAGGGTTAAGGACAGTTAAGGGTCCCAATTTATGATCGGAACTTTGAGGGTCACAGAAATGAACATTCTTAGTGTCACCAAACTGGTGTTAATCGTGAATAAACTTACCAATAGTCAAAAGTACTGAGACTAGTAACTTTAACATCATAAAACGTTATATTTTCCAGACATTCTGTCGATGATTTTGTCTCGCTAAAATCTGCCCTATTTAAGGTTCCATCAATCAAAAGTGGAGAGTTTGGAATCGGCTCGGAGATTTGTAAACTTGAACAGCACTTTGGTGTTGGATTTGCAGATACTAAAGCCACAACGGTAATACAAGCTAATAATAAAATTGACATTCTTTTACTTATTTTTAAACTGTTTTTTTTAATTATTAATCTTTTAAAATTAATTGTTTTATTTTTTAAAATTAATTGTTTTATTTTTAAAATAATTTTTTTATTTATTAAAATTAATTTTTATATTTTTTAAAATTGATTTGTATTTTTTTATAATAACTTTTTATTTTTATGATTTTAATAATTAAGTAGCTAGCGATCTCCTGAAGTTTAAATATTCAATTACAATTTTTTCACAACGATCACTTCAATTTTATATAGTTTTAGAAATGAAAATTTCACCACACAGCAAGGCAACCAGGAGAAATAAGAAGGAAACGAAAAAAAAGCTTGCAATGTTCTCTTTAAACGCTTAAATGTGAATTAAAAAATCTGTTACAAAAACAACATTTATAGATTAAAATTCTGAGCCTATATTTGCAACATTTTGAAATCAACTGTTTATTATTTGTTTACTAACATTTTAGAAATGCGTTTTAAATGATATCGATTGATTTTTTGGTTTAATAGTTTCTTTTTGGCACGCAACCAGATCGGAGGTAACATTATAAACTTCTTCTATACTAAGCTCTTGTAAAATTTATAACTTCTGATTTTCTTAATGTTAATGAATCTTTTTAATGTTATTTGAACTCGTGTCTTAAAATAAGTTATCTTCCACTCCTCAATTCTGGATCCCTGCCTCACAAGGTTCTTGTCTCACCTATGTTATCTATCTAATAGATCAGCTTTCTCTCTAAGTCGCATGTTGAAGAATATTTCTTCAAAGTCCCCATGTCAAGCCTCAACTTCCTTCCCCATCCCTTAAGTGCATCTTCTGCAGAGGTTTTAAGGCTTGATAGCTGACATGTAAGTAGGTTGACTGGCCGGAAACTACTTACTCATCATACGGAGGATTTGACAATGTCTAAAACTATGTGCAACATTTTTTGTCAACAGCATCAATCCATAAAATCATAGAAAAGGGAGCAAAACATTGAGCATAATCATTTAATTTGTTGAGAGATCAAAACCCTTTTGCATGATTCACACCTCATTTTAAGCATAATATACAAACATTGATGAAAAATCTCTGAATTTTAAAGGCTTAATCACTGCGGTCAACATTGAATTCATTAGTCAACTTGTAATCAGTCGAGCTAAAAGTTGACTGGACATGAGGGCTCTAAACTGCGTTTAAAACCAAGTCAACCTTGAGCTGGGTGAAGTCTCAGATTTAAGTTATAGATTTACCAAAGCAGAGGAACAGATAAATCAAATTTTGGTCATTTTTATTATTATTTCACGAATGCAGCATACAATTTTGGTCATGATTTACCCATAAAGTGTGCCGTCGATCAATAAGTTTGGACAAAACTGCTCTAGATGCACACCTGCATCACTACATAAATAAATTAATTTAAATCACATCAATTAATATCAAACGCAATTTTAAGAAATCAGCGGAGTGACGTAACAATGATGTATTCATGCTCAACGATTCTAAAATCCAAGTTGCCAGCTGAGTTATTACTCACAGAATCATATGTATTATTTATTTTGTACTTTTATTTTTGAGGGGCTTCTCTGATAAGCGGTTTTTGTGAGGTAATAGTTATCAACTGATGTAATCGTTTCGTCAAAACTATTACTTCCTGATGAAATTCCCTTTCTAAGTTAATTTAATATGGCAAGGAACGAGCCTTCGATGGTGATTTGGAATTGATTCTTCAATCCTGGTTCTTGGTTCTTGATTCTTGGTTCTTGGTTCTTGGTTCTTGGTTCATGGTTCTTGGTTCTTGGTTCTTGGCTCTTGGTTCTTGGTTCTTGGTTCTTGGTTTTTGGTTCTTGGTTCTTGTTTCTTGGTTCTTGGTTCTTGGTTCTTGGTTTTTGGTTTTTTGTTCGTTGTTCTTGGTACTTGGCTTTCTTGGTTCTTGGTTCATGGTTCTCGATTCAAATAATCCAAACTGAAAAAGTTAAAGGCTGAAATTTTAATCTGAAATCTCAAGTTTTTTAAAAATTGATCAAAATAAAATAAATTAAAATAGTCAAAATGTTTATTTTTCAATATCCACATAATATCCTTTATTTACTTGTTTTTTCCATCATTTTTTTCTTCCAATTTTTTTCTCATATTTTTTTGTGTTTCAATTCGAATTTTTAAAATGTTTTTCCTCATTCATTGGATTTTTTTCATTTTTCTTCAATTTTTTTTTGCTTAAATCTTTTTTTTTATCTTTATGTACACAGAATCGTCTCATAAAAATCATCAATAAATCCATTTCCACTATATGTCTTGATAAAATTGGATTATTATTTTTTTTTTGTTTTTCTGCTTTTTCAGTTCAAAAAGAAAGATTTTCTTCTCATTTTTTTCAAATACTTTTCACTTTTTTATTTAAAAATTAAAAAATAAAAAAATAAATGTTACTATTACAATTATACACCATTCAGTAATGGCTGAATTTATTTTAATTTTTTTTTTTCATTATAATTATCATTATTATTAATATTATTACTTTATTATTAGTATTATTTATTATTAGTTTACTTTAAATATAAATAGGAACTATATTTCTTCTCATCATCGCTTCCAATGACTTTTTTTTGAGAATCTTTCATTTTTTAAAGGTTTTTCCTTCGAAGATTTTCTTTGAAAGAAAACTTTTTTTGACTTCTTTGAAAAGTTGTTGGATTTTTGCCAGCTTTTGGACCTTTCCGATTTAGTTTTGAACTTCTTTTGAGGGCTTCTTGAGGTTAGGTTTAGAATATTTGAGGTTAAGCTTAGTTGGAAGATAAAAAAAACAAGCGTGAAGGCGCCTTTATCAGAAAAAACCTAATGTGAAGGCGTCTTAATTTCAAATTCCTAGTGTGAATGCTCTTGAATTTTAAAATCTCTGGTGTAAAGGCACCTGAATCTGCTATTCTTAATGTGAAGGTGCCTGAACCTCTAGTTTTAAATGTGCAGGCGCCTAAACGTTTAGTTCTTAGTTTTAAGGCGCCTTAAATAAGTTTTTTCAATTTTCAACTAAGCTAACCTCAATTTTTTTATAATAACCTAGAATTTTCAAGCTATTACCCCTGAAAATCACCCAATTCCCACAAAATTGTTCAATTTTTATTTCCGCTAAATCACTGAGTGAATTTCTAAATAAATTACTCCTCATTTTTTTAATTATTTACTTTGATGTTTCTTTTAATTATTTATTTTAATAATTTTAATTTTTTTTATTATTTTTATTAACCTTACGATAAAATTTTTTAATGGTTTTTTTGCGAGGAAATTGCATCATCAAAGTTTAAAATTTCTTTTTCACTTTTTCTGATAATTTTTTTATCTCAATTATTTAAAATTTTATATCAAATAATAACCATATACAAATTTTTGCATTTGTGGAATGGATTTTAATTTTTATGAATGAACTTTTTGGTGAGAAAAATTAAAAAAAAATGTTTTGTGATTTCGAATGTTTTATTTTTTGATTTAAATGTGTGATTGTTTTTGTAGGGAAAACGTTTTGCTGATGTTTTTGGTCACTTTGTTTTAACGTGTGATGATGTTTTTGGTCACTCTGTCATTTAACCGGATGACCAAAAATTATAATTTAACGTTTTTCAACATTGTGACCAAAAAATTGAATTCAATGTTTTTTGATTCGGTTTTAAATTTACTTCAATGTTTTGTTTTAAACTCTCAAAATATAAACAATTTTAAAATAAAATTTCCCTCCAAAAAAATTATTTTAAAAAAAAATTGTTCACTTTTTTATAATTTTTTTTTTCATATTTTTTCCATTTTTTGGATTTCCAACTACACAGAGATACATTGTTTTAGCATTTTCTATTTTTAAATGATTATTTTGTGTAATTTTTTTATCCTTCAATCAATTTCTAAATTGCCATTCATCTTAAGTATGATTCACTTGTTTTTTTTTTTTAAATATATAATTTTTTTGTTTTGTTTTACTTACTTTTTAAATCCTTAATCTTAAAATTCTAATTTGAATAGGAACATTTTTTGTAGCCTTAAAATTTAAGATTTTTTTTCTTTTTCTGCTTCCAACTTGGTTTTTTTTTCATTTATTATTAAAAATTATAATAAATAATTTGGGGGGGGGGGCGGGGGGTGTTAGTAATAATAATTTGGAATTTTTGAAACTTAATCTAAGGGTTCATGAACTTTCGAAGGGGCTTGAACCTAATTTGAACCAAAAAGAGGATTTATTAAGTTAAAATTGTGGAATTCGACTAAAATTGCAGGGTTTTGACTCAAAATTTGGGGGTTTATTACCTAAATTAAACCAAATTCGGTATTCATTACAAACTTTCTTGCGATTTTGGCCAAAATAATCAGAAATTATCTCCTACAAAGACCTAATAATTGCGGTTCGGGAGCAAAATATACGAAATTGCCTCATTTTTGCTGCTTAATCATGAAATTTGAGCAAAAAAAGTTCAATTTACAGCTCAACAAATAATTGAAAATTTAATGAAAAAAGAAATATTTTGAATAACTTTAGTGAAGAATTGCAAATTTTCTTGGGATTTTTTGAGTCATTTTTCCTGTTTGATTTTAGGAATTCTTAAGTTTCATTACAATTTTAGTAACCCTTATTGGGGTCTTAGCTCTTAAATATTGCAAAATGAATCTTTAATCCCATCAGAATTTGACATTTCCCACCAAACTACTCAATCTTGCACATCAATTAATAAATCAACAAATAAAAAAAAATTCAGGGAAGTTGACAGGATTTAAAACTTAAAACATATTTTTTTAATATCACGAAATTTAGCATCAAATAAAAATCAATTAAATTTCCTCATTTTTTTGTCACTCAAATCTAAAGTTTTCATCCTAAATCTTCTTTCTATTCTGATTTTTTTTGTTATAAATATTATTAAATATTAAAAAGTCCTCTTCCATGCGAGTATAAGTTTCATCATTTTTTCCTTATTTTTTATTATTTTATTCCATTTTTTTGAGTGTCTTTTTTGTGTAAAATTGTAATGATTTTAATTTTTGTTCATTGTGCTTGTCTCAAATTATAAAATTTATTTGTGTTTTTTTGAGTTTTTTTTCGAGGGGAAGGATTTTTTTTTAAATTTTTTATTGCAATTTTTTTTCATTTAAAATTTACTTTGGCAAAAATTAGGAATCAAATGTTGATTTTTTTTGGAGAAAAATAAAAATAAATTGAAATTTTTAAAATTTTAAAAATTCATTTTTTACTTTCAAATTTCTCCAAAAAAATTATTTTATTTAATTTTGTTTAACAAAAAACTTACAAAATCAAAAATTTAAATTATTTTTTTTTCACATCTTTCAAGCCTCCTAAAAATTAATCACAAATATGACAAAAATCAAAATTATATTATTTTGTTTAAATGTATCTAAAAATTCACATATCATAAATTACAATAAAACTAGGAACATTTTTATTTATCAATTTTTGGTATATTTTTTGGAGATCTTTTAAGATATTTTGAAATTTTTCTCCAAAATTTCAAAATATTCTCAAAAAGTTCCCCCAAAAAATTTTATCATTTCCTTTAAAAACATCAAAAATGAAAGTTTATTTTCTGCATTTTTTCATTAAAATTCTTTCATTTCCAGAAATTCAAAATTACACAAAAACTTTTTGGCATTTCAATTTTGTTTCATTCAATTTGTCGATTAAAATTTTCATTTATTTTTTGTTTTATGTTAAAAAATTATTTTAAAATTCGACAATTTATTTTTTCTGCTCATTTTTCGTGTCTTTTTTTGTCTTTTTAAATTTTAAAATAATTTTTTTTTCTTGGACGATTTTCTTGGTTTTTTTAAGTGTCGCTGCTGCTATAAATTGGCATTATTTTGTCATCTAAAGACGCTGCTGCTGCTAAATTCTTTTTCGCAATTTATTAATTCGATTAATATTTAAGTAGATTTTTTTTATGTTTTTTTGTTCATGTTAAAAATGATATTTTTTGTTTTTTTTTTTCTTCTTTGGATGTTTATGATTTATTTGATAGTAGATTGTTGATAAGTTTGATTTCTTACGTCATCTTTTGGCTACCTTTACTACACGGGTTGCATTAAGTTTGTCTGCAAATAGTGAATTTTTTGTTAATTTATTCAATTTTAACTGAGTAAAGAGACAAATTCGAGGTTATTTGGATCCAAGGACTGGTTTTTACAACTTGGGTCGTAAATTAGGACTATCTGAGTTACCTTAAGGTAAGAATGAGAGTCGATGCAATATAACATGTTGTGGTGCCCTCGTTTGCCTGGGAGATCTAAAAACCAGTCCTATCCATAAATCAAATGTTCAATATTATGAAAAAAACTTACCTTTTTCCATATTTTTTTGTAAGAAGGTTGATTAACCACTCAAATTCCATTTTTGTCACATTTCTGATCAGGATTCCAATTTAAATTTTGAGAGCATTTTGAATAAATAATTGACAAAAATTAGCAAAAATTCGGATTAAGGTCAATAAAGTTTTTAATATTAAATTTTAAAATTTTAAAACTGCTTAAATAATAATTCAAACCATAAAAGATTGCTGAAAAATCAAAAAGAAAAAATTGCAAATATAAAAACTGAAAATCAAAAATAAAAAAAATAATAAAAACAATAATTTTTTCAAATAAATTTCCTATTTTTCTGTATTTTTTCTTTTTCTAAAATTTGTCTTTCATATAATTTGATTCATTTTTTGTGTTTTTTAGAATATATCATTATATGTTCATATATTTTTTCTGTATTTTATTTCATAATTAGATTCGTAGTGTCTATCAGAGATTTAGGTTTATGTGCACTTCAGTGACATTTTTGAAACTTTTATTTCATTTTTAAATTTCACAAAATTCTTTGCAAAATGTCACTGACAAAATTATCCCAGAGGTTTTTAATTGAATTTTGAATTTTAATTTATTAACGGGTGTGTCAGATGTTTTGGGTCTGTTTTCGACATCTTTAGCCAGCAGGGGTCCAGTCTTTGGATAAACTTTAGCTTTTTATCCTATTATGACCAAATTTATCCTTTAAAAACTGCCCTTCTCCTAAATACACCCACAAAAATTATTTCTAAACTTCCTTTAATTTACTTAATTTTGAAGATTTGGCAAGAAACTTTCCAATTTTTTCATTAAAATTTTCTACACAATTGAAATTGAATAAATTAAATTAAAAATCCCTCAAAATTCAATAACAATTTGCAAATTAATTTTCAGCACATTTTTCTTTCATATTTTACAATAATAATAATAATAATTTTAATAATAATAATTAATAATAATAGCAATAATAGATCAATACAATTGACACATATTTATTATAATTAATAAACCTAAAATGGCAATTCATTGTATGTGCATAAGCCATCGACTGGCATTTCATGAAAACTTTTTTTTTGTTTTGTAATAATTTGTCAAAAATAATTAAAATTAAATTTACACATTTGATTAATGAATTATTTTAACTAGTGAACTGGGTCAGCGTTTGTCTTGATTCTTAGCTTTTTTGTGGTGTTGTTGTCGTGAATTGAAATGTTTTGTGGTCATTGATATTCAACTTTTAGATCGAGAATTGATATTAGCATGAATATTTAATTTCATATACTATTTTAGCAAACCTATGTACTATTTTAGTATACCAGTACACTATTTTAGTATACCAGTACACTATTTTAGTATATCACTTTACTATTTTAGTATAATAGTCGATCTATTTACTTTGTATGTTGTTTTACTACTTAAGTGTATCGATATACTATTTTAGTATCCTTGACTACTATATTAGTATCCCAATCCACTAATTTAGTATCCCGATCTACTACTTTAGTATCCCGAGCTACTACTTTATTATCCCGATCTACTACTTTAGTATCCTGATCTACTACTTAAGTATTCTGATCTACTAATTTAGTATCCCGATCTACTACTTTAGTATCCCGATCTACTATTTTAGTATCCTAGACTACTACTTTAGTATTCCGATCTACTACTTTAGTATCCCGATCTCCTACTTTAGTATCCTGTTCTACTACTTTAGTATCTCAATCTACTACTTTAGTATCCCGATCTCCTACTTTAGTATCCTAGACTACTATTTTAGTAAACTAAGTTGATTTTACACCTCAATTTCCTCAAAACATTCCAATTCCCGACAAAACCTCACGAAAAATATTTTCTAAATTATTTATTTACAATCTAATAATTTGTTTAATTCTACCTAACATACTGATTCTCTCTGATATTTTACATAACTAATGGAAATGCTTGTGGATTTTATGAAATTGTCAAATTAACAATTCATAATTTTTTACTAGTATTTTATCTCATAAATCTAAGTTGTCTAACTTTATGAACCTCATAATTAATATTTTGAGATTCTATCAGATTTTTCTGTTACTTGGAAGGAGGTTGATCATGTGCGATGCTTTAGGATTAGGGTCTCTAAGGTAGGGTTGGGTTTAGGTTGCTCAGGGTAGGCTATAGTAGCTTTGTAAGGCTAGGATAGGTTTCCAAGAAACCAGAAGCGGAACCTTGATGAAGTATGTGTCAATACTGTCTAGAAAAAACTAGATTGCTCAAAAGAAGAATCAACATCATTTACGATCAACCCCCTTTATTGAGGAAGAAATATTTTTTTCTTTAAATTAATTCTCTAAAATCATAATAAATGCAATAAAATAATAATAATAATAATAAAAATAATATTTTTCTGTATTTTTTAAAATTTAAAATCACAAAATTATTGAAAATGTATCGGCAATTACAACAACAATAAAAAGTTTATTTTCCTTAGGAAAATCCTCAAAACTCACCGAGAATTTTCATCATTTTTTCACGTCTCAATCAGCAAAATTAAAAAGTTTTCTTTTTTTTGAGCAAAAATAAATATTCTTAGTCAATCCAATTAGTGTCGCCAATCATGAGTGACTTTTGTGGATGACAATTCGTATACGAAAAATTTCCATCATTTCTTGTTGGCATCATGTCGTTCATCAAGTTCTGAAGCGTCTGGTCGGGTTTCTGTGTGTCAATTTCTTGAACATCATCATCATCATCCTCGTGTGATTCATTCTTCATGACATAACTGTGAATGTTTTGGATGTGCTGTTGTGAGAGCACGTGGGAGCTGTAGGTCTTGGATGGACATGGGGCATAATCTGGGCAGTACATGCAGTCGGATGGATTCTTCTCTGGGAGCTCTTTGAGATCATTTGTTGTGATTTTGTTGAGTTTTTTGTAGTTTGCTCGGGCGTTTTGGAACCAAACCTGGGAAGAATTGATGAAAAATTGGAAAATTAGTACATAGGGAATTTTGAGGTTAGGATTTTTTATGAGGTTAGAATCTCAGTTTTGAGGTTAGATTTCTTAACCTTGAGGTAATAATCTTGAATTTTGAGGTTAGAATCTCAATTTTGAGGTTAAAATTTTTATTTTTGAGGTTATAATCTTGAATTTTGAGGTTGTAATCTTGAATTTTGAGGTTAAAACTCTTAATTTTAAGGTTAGAATCTCAATTTTGAGGTTAAAATCTTGAATTTTGTTAAAACTCTTAATTTTGTGATTTAAATTCCTGATTTTAAGGTAAGGTTCTAGTTCTCTTATATTATCATTGAGTGCTTACCTGAACAACTCTTTTGAACAATCCGATCTCCTTCCCAATATTCTCACAATCAATCATCGACGGTGACTTGACATCATCGAAAATTTTCCTCAAAATGCTCTTCTGAACTCTATTGACATGAGTTCTATGTCTCTTTGACTTCTCTTTGTCATTCAATGTTCCAGCATTCTCATCTCCATGATTACTATCATCATTAAAGTTATCCAAATCATAATCATCATCTGGCAGCTCATCATTATTCGAATCTGTGAAGCTTATTTCAGACTCACTGAATTCACTTCTCTTTTGGAGTGGAAAATTATGAGACGTTTGTGGCTGTTGCATTAAGTTTGCCTTCCAGAACTCAGCATTTTGTGGTAAGTTCAGCATCGACAAGTCAAGCTGCTGTGGAAGTTGAGGAAAATTGATGTCCTTTGGATTGAATGTGATCTCTGGAATGGTATCGATGTTGATCATCTGCTTTTCCGGATGTTTAGTTTGTAAATGAGATTCTAGGGCTGATTTTACTTTGAAGATTGCACTGCAGTATGGACACTTCTTGTTGATGATTTGCATATTTTGACGGAATTGTCCTTTGCGTTCGCGTGCACGGGAGTTCTGGTACCAGACCTGTGGGAGATTTAAGGGGATTTTTGAGGTTAGAATATTTATGTTTTTCCTTTACTACTCAACTTTGAGGTTAGGATTCTGAATTGTGAAGTTAAAATTCTGAATTTTGGGGTAAGGACTCTGAATTTTGAGGTTAGGCTTCTGAATTTTGAGGATTGGTTTCTGAATTTTGAGGTTAGGATTCTTAACTTTGAGGTTATGTTTCTTCATTTTAAGGTTGGGATTTTTGAGGTTAAAATCTTTATTTTTGAGGTTAATATTCGAGGTAAGGACTCTGAATTTTGAGGTTAGGCTTCTGAATTTTTAGGTTTGGTCTCTGAATTTTGAGGTTAGGATTCTTAACTTTGAGGTTAAGATTCTGAGTTTTGAGGTTGGGATTTTTGAGGTTAAAATTTTAATTTTTGAGGCTAAGATTCTGAATTTCGAGGTAAGGACTCTGAATTTTGAGGTTAGGCTTCTGAATTTTGAGGTTAGGATTCTGAATTTTGATGTTAGGATTCTTAACTTTGAGGTTGATTCTGAGTTTTGAGGTTATGTGTTTAAATTTTGTGGTTATGAACCTGATTACTAACCTGAACAACCCGTTTCTTCAAATTGACCTTCTTAGCAATCTCTTCAAGCTGTTTTCGACTCGGATTTGATTCCTTTTGATAACATTCATACAAATAATTCAACTGCTCCGGTAATATTGTTGTTCTCAATCTCTTATTGCTATGCATGCTGCTTAAATTCAATTTAGCCTTATTCACATCTGACATTTGTAGATTAAGACCTTCCAATTCGTCCTTTGAGTCGTCAAGTGCAACGACATCATCACCACCATCATCGTCACTAATGATTGACTCTTGCTCCATCAAATCAGCTCCATTAAGTTTCTTCTTGAATTCACTGAGATGATAAAATTGTGTTAAAAAATCCATGCTGAGATGCTTCTCGTCAATCATTTGCTCGGTCGGGCAATTTGCCTTGTAATATTGCAGAAAAAAATCATAATTTTTTGTCAACAAATCAAAATCTTGATTCGAAAATTTCTGTAGTAAAAATTCTTGCATTTTTTCAGCGCTGTACAAATTCTTCTCGTCAATTTTTGGTGTTGTAGTTCCGCCATTGTCGTTATTGTTGAAATTTTCATTGCCATTGTTGGTGTTCATGTAAAATGGCATTCGAGAATTCGACATTGGGGACTCGATAGGGCTCGGCTGTTCATAATTCTGGAGCAATGCCGGAGGTGGCACTTCCACTACGAAATTGTCCGGCATTTGATTGTGACATTGAGAGATTTGTGCCGATTGCTGGTGGAAATCCAACGGCTGCTGTTTTGGAGAGGGAAGAATGTTGAGGATGTGCTTAGTAAATTGGGTTTGATTTTGGTGAATTTTTGTTGGTTATGGTTTGGTGGAATTGAAGAAAAGCTGTGACATAGAGGGCTGTTCCCCAAATACGTGCTTGACCTCTGTTTTTACTACCTTAAGTTCAGCACCATCACAGCTAATCTTCAATTCTATCCAAAATATCATCAAAATTATTGAGAATCTTTTTCTCATAAATCGAGCAAAACTCAAAAAATAATTGCAAAAAATAAGAAATTTTAAGCAAATTGATCCGTTCCGACTTGCTTATGAATATAAAAATGAAATCATAAATGTTGTAAATTTAGACGTTTTTCTAGTCTTAAACGAAGCATCTGTCATCCTCGCAAAATAATAAGGCATCAAAATCATAAGAAAATAAGCAAAAAAAAAATTTCGTGAAAATCTACAAGATTGTGGATTAAAAAAATGAGAAGAATATGAAAGAACATTGGTGTCGAGTCTATTGTTGGATTTTTGAGGTTAGAAATTCTATTTTGAAGCTTAAAATTAACTCAAAAAATGGTAAATGACTGTCAAAAAAAAGTTTAATTTAATATGAAATTTGAAAATTTCGTCCCAACTTTAGATTAAAAAAATTGTTTGAAAATTGTTGAGATTTCAGAATTTGAACGTCATTCCGCTGATTAAAATCCGACAATAGAGCACCAATGTTCTTTACATATTCGCAAAAAAATTATGAAACTGAATTTTTTTTTTTGATTATTTAAAGTCGAAACTACATGAAAATAAAGTCTACAATCTCAATTCTTAATAAAAAAAAACGGGCATTCAAACTCAAAAAAAGTCTAAGTTGGGAAGCATTTCAAAGTAAAAAAAACAAGTACAAAGAACTAAGAAAATAGTAAGGCTGGGTAGCAAAATTGACTTCATTTCTTGAAAAATTTTTGATTTTTTTTTTTGATTGTGTCATTTTTGTTCATTTACCATAATATTATTTGACGTAGCGGAGGATGTCGTTAATAGACTAACAGGATGATTCAAATTCAGTTTCGGCAAATTTTGAGAAGAAGAAGAAGTTTGCGCGAGTTGGGATTTTGGTGTCGGATGAAGTAAATTATTACCTAATAGATTGCTCGCGTGATTTATTTCGAGACTTGAGTTTGAGTCCTCGCTGCTCAAGCTCTGAGCAATTTGGGCTGCGGCAATTTGAGCTTTTGCTGACTTTTTGTTGTTCTCTTCTTTGAAGCAGTGATTCTTTTGGTGACGAATGAGCTCATAGTAGCGTTGGAAGATCAAATTGCACTTTTTGCATGTGTAATTTATGCAGCCCGTCTTCTTCTCGTCACTCTCGAATGGCGAACTGCAATGAGGAACATTTTTTAAATGCTATAATTAGTTTTTGTGGAATCTACAAATTTTTGGTATAATTTTGAAAATAAAATTTGATTTTGGAAAATTTAGGAAGCTTTTTAAAATTTTCCAAAAAAAACATATCGGGATTTTTTTTCAATAATTTAATTAAAATAATTCTACAAAAATGGCATCAAAATCAAATTTTTTAAAAACTTAAAAGTAAGTTGGAATTAGGTTAAAAAATTTATTTACTTTGTGGTATTTGGTTGGTTCTCGTAGATCTTTCGTTGCTTTTGACGAGCGTTCTGGAATTGAAAATGGAAGTTTTAGTCAAATATAATTTAAAAAACCATTAAATGTTTAAATATAACAATTTTCTTGAATAAAGTGCGCCAAACTTGACTATAGTGCGCCATACTCGTCTATAGTGCGCCACACTCGACTAAAGTGCGCCACACTCGACTATAGTGCGCCATACTCGACTATAGTGTGCTATACTCGACTATAGTGAGCCATAATCGACTATAGTGCACCATACTCGACTATTGTGTGCCATACTCGATTATAGTGCGCCATACTCGACTATAGTGCGCCATACTCGACTTTAGTGCGACATACTCGACCATAGTGCACCATACTCGACTATAGTGCGCCATACTCGACTATAGTGCGCCATACTCGACTATAGTGCGCCATACTCGACTATAGTGCGCTATACTCGACTTTAGTCTACACAAACACTTAAAATACTAAATAATTATCAAAAGATGCTCACCTGGAACCACACGACGATTACTCTCGGTGATAACAATAATAATTTACTCAAATACTCCAAGTCACTGTCCTTTGGATATGAATTATTCTCAAAGAACTCCTGCAACACCTTAATCTGATAGTCAGTAAATCTAGTTCTATTTGCCCTCTTTCCACTCGATGTCGATGAGTTGGATGAACTGGAATTTGACTCGTAACTCTTATCAAAAATCTTATTTAATTGAAACTTTTTTGGCGGTCCCATTTGATTCAGCGGATTCCCGGGACTTGTGATGTTGTTGATTGGAATGCTTTCGATTTGTTGGCTGATGACGTCATTGATGTTATTATAGAGACTATTCGGTGTCTGTGGACGTGATAAGATGTCACTACTTCCACTTTCCGACTTAGTCTCGTAGTTGTTAAAAAAATTCATCTGTTGTTGTGCTTGTTGCTGACGAAATCGCTCCATATCAAATTCTACATTCTCAATATGCTTATCATTATCAATCATGTCTTCGGTTGGCTCAGACTTGATGTATGAATCATCACGTTCGTTACTTGTTGTACTTGATGGTTGGGATACAGGTCGCAAATCTGGAAAATTCTGCTGGGCTTGCTGACTCAAATTAAACGCCTGTTGCTGTTGCTGAAAAAACTGCTGCTGTTGTTCTTGAATTTTTTGCTGTTCTTGTTGTAACTTTTGTTGCTGTTGCTGAATACTTGACAACATTGCATTCGCTGATGTTTGGGATTGGGTATCGCTGAGTGGGACTGTTTTGGTTGTTCCTGTACGCTCGTATTCTTCGAGATTGAGGGTTGTTGATGGTGGATTCGCAAAGTTGTAGGGCGAGTCTTTGTTACGCTGGCGCTCTTTGAAGAGAGTGTTACGGAACCAGTGCTTGACAACCTAGGAAATTGTAAGGAATTGATTAAGTTGTGGTAATTTTTAACAAGGGGTGCGCAGCTATCAGAGTAAGGGGTAAACAACTATTAAAGTAAGGGGTACACAACTATAGAACAAAGGGGGTACACAACTATAAGAGAAAAGGAGTACGTAGCTATCAGAGCAAGGGGTACAAAACGATTAGAGTAAGGGGTACATAACTATAACAGCAAGGGGTACACAACTATGAAAATCCTTACCTTCTGAGGCAAATTAGCTTTCTTTGACATATCGATGATGCTCTCCTCACTTGGCGAGTTGTTAATATCAAAATGCGATCTCAGAATTTTCAATTGATCATCTGTGATCCTCGTACGTGCACGTTTCTGATTTCCACATGCCTGGAATGATGAAGATGAATCATCATTAATGCCATTCCATGGATCAACAAAGTCTTTTCGGCTTTTCTTTGCTTGTGACTGTTGTAATTGAGACTGTTGTTGCTGTTGCTGAGCGAGAAGTGAGAGAGCTGTCGGTGTTGTTGGAGTTACAGCTGGAACTGGACTTTCATTGACTGGTTTTGGTGGTGCAAGAGATGGATTTGCTGATTGTGAGCCTGGTGACATTACATTGCCTTGCTGAGCTCCACCGAAGATCAATGGCGGTGCCAAATTCATAAAATTGAGTGACATAAAGTGATGGAACTGCATCAAATTGATCATGTCGAGTGTATTCATCGGCATATTTCCAGTATTAACGTTCTGCAAACTCTGTGCAAATTGTGGGAACTGAGCCAAAAACTGTTGCTCCATAAGACGCTGTGCAAGCATTGCTGGATCAAACTTTTGCTGCTGTTCTGCAGTCTGCTTTTGTGCCAACATTTCAGCATTAAACAATTTCATTTGATTCGCAAGCAATTCCTCAGCTGAGTTCTTTTGCTGTGAGAAGTCAAGTGCAGCTTCACCTTCATCCTTCTTTTCTGGTTCCGCATTTCCATTCTTACTTGGTGTCTGTGGAACTTTATTGATGTCATTAAACTGCTTCACAATGTCAAATCCAAAATTTTCGAGAAGTGCTTTGTACATTTGATTATTTTGTTGTGATTTTGGTGATATGTTGCCATTATTGGATGGGATTTGTGGTGTGATGATGTCCTGTGGCTGGGTGGATGATGATGGGGTTGTTGATGGACCCTAAAACGGTTAGGAAAATTTGATAAATTAGTATGATGTTGATTAAAGTTGTCAACAGTCGCATGCAGGTCACGAATTTTTACTACAATTCATAAAAGTGTCAATAGTCGTATAGAGAACACCACTTTAGGTCTCAGTTTATATTAAGTGTCAATAGTTGCACGTATTACACCACTTTTGGCTAAAAAGTAATAAATCTTACCTGTGGAACTTGTTGCTGTTGCTGCATGATGCGATTTGCTTTAGCTTGATGACCAACACTTCGCATATGGATGTCTAAGGTTGATCCTTGAGCATAAGCGACCTGCAATACAAGAAAAATCAAATTTAAATACTATTCATACCTTAACCACAACTTCCTTAATAGCCAGTCAACTTACCTTACAAATATCGCACTTAAATCTCTTCTTTGGACTATCATAGTCATTGTCAGTCGACAACTTCCTCTTATTACCCTCCATCGAGTTATTAATCTCCATCTCAAAGTCAATTGACTTCCTATCAAAGTCAACCGATCGTCGATCAAATTCACCAATTTGATTTGGACTAGTTCCAAGTGCCGGCGTGGAACTTCCACTGTGTGTCTCGCCTTGCTTCTTCTTAACGCGATGCAAATGCGAAACTGAATTTTTATGAACAGACAAAATATTGGCTTGAGTGAATGACTCGAAGCAATCTTCACACTTGTATGGTCGATTTGGGTCGTGGTATTTTTCGAGTGAGTAACTTGTTATCTTCTCATTCCGATTGATTGCCTTAAAGCGCTTAGCGTCTGGCATTTGTTCACTATTTCGGTCATCATACTCGACATCATCGTCATTTGATGCTGCGTCATCATTTGGTGTCTGCATGCGTTCATCATCGGTTAGTTCCGTTGATTTATTCAATTCAACAGTTGGTGTTCCATGAACTTGCTCGATATGTCGCTGTAATGATGTTGTTGAGCGGAAGTTACGACTACAAATGCTGCATTTTGTTGCATCTCTCATCGTATGATACATAAAGTGAGTATTGAGCTTCTCTTCGGTCTTGAATGCTAATGGACACATTGGACATCGATATTTATAGACATGACGTTCACTTATGACAATGTTTAAGTGACCTGAACGGAAGTGCTGCTGCACTTGAGCCTCATTTGCGAATTTTTGTTGACATGTTTTGAGCAAGCAACAGAATTGATTCATTCCGGTGATGCTGAAGTGCTGATGATCGGTGGCATGTAACAGCAAGTCATTCATACTCTTCAGGACATCATTGCAGACCAAACATTCATAGTCTGGGCCTGTTGTGGATGGACTTTTCTTATGATTAACCCAATGGCTTGTATCGACTAATTGTAGAAGTCGATTGAGTCCCTCAGAATTGACAGAATGAACCGTCATTACATGCTGCTCGAGTGGCTTTCGTTCGGTGAAATTTTCCTGACACAATGGACACATGACTGAATATTCATCTGTTGTGGATGATGCTGAGAATGGTGATGGCGATACTTTCTTTTGTGGAGTTGCTCGCTGTAAGATTTTCTCCTCACTTTCCTCATTTTGCAGCATAGACACAGCTGATGATGATCTTGAAGAGTTATTGATGATAACACCATCAATGTCTGGCTCAATTGTCATCACATCTGCATCCTTCTTGTCACTATCATCCAACATCTTATCAGTCAGATCATCAACCTTACTGTCATTCATCGACACATCCATCTTAACTGCATCTGGATTGTAATTCATTTGTGCTGCAGCCATTAATGCTGAGATTGATGGAAGTGCTGTTGATGAACATTCAACATTTGGATGTGCAGCCTCAAAATGTTGATCCATGTCATGCTTCGTCTCTGACAAGTGATCACAATGATTGCACTTTAGGACTGTCTGAGATTGTGGAAGTTGAGCGGCAAGTGCCTTGAGTTGATCGAATGGAATCATTTTCAGCATAGCTAATGGATTAGGGACGAGTTGTTCCTGCTCTTTTGACTGCAGTGCTGGCGATGCTGTCGACTTGTCATCGTCTTTCGAATAATCGTGCGGCGATTCTAAATTGACATCTAAAAATAAAAAAAAATAAATTTTGATGAGAAAAGTTCAAAAATTATCATAGGATGGAAGGTGACTTTATGGACATTCAACGCAGAGCTTCAATCAAACTTTTAATGATGGCAGATGAAAAGTTTCTCGTAACAAGATTTTCTCTGCCTGTAATTGCTTTTATAAAACTCTCTGTTGGAATGCTTCGCTCATTTTTCATCGTTTTTGATGTTTTTTAATGGATAGATGTGGATGAGGGAGGGAGGAACAATGTGGGTGGATGTAAGAAAAAAAAATAATAATTTAGATGGGAATGGAATAAGGAAATTATAATGACGATAAAGAAGAAAAATGGAGGAAAAACTTAATTTTCTTTTAACTTTCTTCATTCTTGTTAAGTTCTTGTTTGAGGAAAGTTGTGAGTTGGATATGGGTACTGTGATGTTGTGAGAGTGGGAGTGGCTATTGAAATGTTTAAAACAAATTTACATAAATTTTGCAATTCTAATGGCAAATGTAGCTAGAACTGAAAATTTTTAGTTTTTTCTTCATAGTTTTACACCCCTTATGATAAAGTATCATAGTTTCACTCACTTTTAATAAAATATCATAGTTTTACACCCTTTTAATAAAATATCATAGTTTAATATTCCTTTTTAAAGAGTTTCATAGTTTTACACCCCAATTTTCAAAACTTGGCAGTTTCCTAATAATTTTTGACAATTTTGTGCCTTTTTTTGAAAGTTTCGTATCCTTTATTGATAGTTTAATACCCCTTATTGTTTCTTACAACTAATTGATTGTTTGCCTTATTGATAGTTTCCTACCCCTTATTGATAGTTTCCTACCTGTTATTGATAGTTTTCTACCCCTTATTGATAGTTTCCTACCCCTTATTGATAGTTTCCTACCCCTTATCGATAGTTTCCTACTCCTTATTGATAGTTTCATTCTCCCTTTTAAAATTGAATGCTGTATACCAGTTCCACATTCGAAAGAATTATTTAAAGAATAAACGGTTCCAAAAAGTTTCACATTTGACAATTTTTTCAATCAATTTTCTTTAATTTTCCAAAATTTAACTTTGTTAAAAAAAACTTTTGTCATTCATAAAAATAAAAATTTATCATCTCGAAGTAATTGAAGAAAAAAAAGTCTTAATAGAAATTTGAGAAAGCCAAAAAACTTGAAATTGAGACTCTCATCCGTGAATAAAACTTTTTTGATTCTGATTTTGACGATGAAAAATGAAGAAGTTTTTAAAATAAATGACAATGAAAGGGTTGATGGCTTGTCATTTGAGTTTTTTGTTGAGCAAATTTAATTAAAAAGTTTTGGAAATTTGAAGCTTTTGTTCCCCCAACGCCCCCAAAAATAAATAGCAAACTTACCATCAACAAGTTGATAAATCTCGCCCAATTCAATCGACTCTAAACTCTCGCATCGTCTCTGTAGACAATAAATCTGTTCAATTTGGATATGTCTGAGACTCTTATTGTGCTTGATCATGTCGAGCAAATTATTTGATTTATAATTGCACAATTGACACAAAAGTGCCTTGCTGATATTGACATCCTGTCCATCGAGTTCCATCTTTACATCCTTAAACAGCTGCAAAAGATGATTAAATTTCGCTCGCATGCTTTCATGACGTACGTTCTGGATGTGACAATTGAGTTTTTGTATGGAATTTGTGTAGTAATCACAGCAATTACATTTTAGCTGTGTGATGTTGTAGTTGTTGTTGTTGGTTGTTGAATTGATGACGTAATCGAATTTGTATTCATTGCGAAGTCCTCCTGGGAATTGAATGAATGGAAAATTGGATAAATTTGGCTTTGTTTGTGATTTTTGTACCCCTTAGCTTGAAAGCTGTGCTCCCCTGCTTTAGAAGCTGCGAACTTCATTTTTAAAAGCTTCATACCCATTTACTTAAAAGTTTCGTACCCCTTCTTTAAGAGCGATTTACCCCTAAAATAGGAGCTGCATACCCCTTTTTTAATAGCTGCATGCCCATTATTTAATAGCTGCATACATATTTACTTGAAAATTTTGTACTCCATTAACTTTAAAGCTGCATACCCTTTACTATAGAGCTCCACACCCCTTACCTAACACCTACATACTCCAAAACCCAATTCTCACCCACAAATCCCATTCAAACCCCCAAAAACTCACCTTGTTTAATATGATTAGCAAAATTAACACGTTGCAGATGCTTATCGGTCTTACAATGTAGCTGACAATTAGCCTTGAGGTGTGTCTTATAGCAGCAGAGTCGACACGTATAATTATTATTGTTAACCACAACAATGAACTCTTGCGGAAAACTTAGTCGCGAGCGATCCTCATTGATGTGATTATTTAATTCGTCCAAGTCATTTGAATTGTAATTTGAGCAGATGAGACACGAAAAATGGTATGTTGGATTAAAGTCTTGTTCGAAGGGCGGCTCCAAAGTGTCTGGATTGAGGCCCTGATCAATCTCTTGATTGGTAGTTCCGTTAATTTGCTGTTGAAAGTGCATCGGATTTTGTTGATTATTTTGAGCAGTTTGTTGTTGTTGTATCATTGGTAGAAATCCAGTCGGTGGACTCGCCCCAACGGAATTCGAATGTAATAATTGTATGAGTAGCGCCTGATTATAAGCTAAATCAGCTAATGCTGCACCTGGTAGATGTCCTGCATTACCAGGTAGTCCACTTTGTGTATCCATACCAGGCATGCCCATAGCATTCATACCTGACGGATGGGTCTTTAGGAACGATTCCATATGCGATTGTAAACGCTTTATATTGCACTGCACCACAGCCAAATTGTGTGTATGCTTCTCACTCGTCTCGTGTATACGATAATTGCGGGCATTTGGAGTCTCATATGAGCACGGCTCGCATCGAAAACTTGGCTTTGGTTTTGGTTTGCTTTGTTGCGCTGGCAGTTGCGGGGTTGATGGAGCTGATGGAATTGATGGTTGACTAGGTTGGGGTGTGGCGCGGATCTCGGGTGGTGGGGCGACGGTCTAGAATATGATTAGAAGTTAATTATAAAGGAGAAGATTTAAAATTGAGAATCAACTCACCATAGTCTGAGAATTGTTGAGTTCCTGCACATTATTCAAGTGCTTGTCGCTCTGCATGTGAATTGATAAATTGCCTTTGGTTGTTGTTGAATAGTTACAGATCTCGCACCGATATGGTTTGTATCCGCATGTGTATGATTCACCACGTGCTAGACGAGGATGTGCTGCACCTATTTAATACATCCAATGATTAGTTCACTAACTTAAGGACTCAATTATGTAAAATCTACAAACCTTGAATGCAGAACGCGCAAGCCATTTCACCATCCGGATGTTTCTCACGCATATGTATCTCCAATGTCTCCTGATATTTATAGTGCCAGTTACATTGAGGGCATTTCAGTGTCTTACATGAATTGCGCGTTGATATCTGTGAGCCACTTGTGAGGCGGGCTGTGTTGAGGAGGATTTCACATCTAGATTGGGAAAAATTGAGATTTTGAGGTTAGGTTTCATAATTTTGAGGTTGAAATTTAAGTTCTAGGTTAGAATTCTAGTTTTAAGTCTCTTATTTTGAGGTTAGAATTTTGAATTTTGAGGTTTGAATTCAAAATTTGAGGTTAGAATTCTGAATTTGAGGTTATGTTGCCTTCAACTTACCTTGCACATTCAACACCAATTGGCCGTCCATTAATATGCTCAGGACATGCACCGATTGTGAATGATGACACACTGAAATAGAAATTTTTAGGTTAATAATCAATTTTATAGTTGCATACCCCTCAACATGGGTACACTCAGATAGCTACTTATACATACCTCGGCGACGTATTCATATTCTGCGATGGCGTCATTTGGTGTGAAATTTGGAGTTGCTGTTGTGAATTTGGTGTTGCTGATGTGTTTGGCGAGGATGTCTTCGATGAGGCATTTGACTCATGTGCATAGCCTTTCATTGGTGACTTTGATACGCTACGCATCGGTGACATTTGATTGATATTAAGAAATTCACAATTTTTGCAGTCAATTTCATTTAAATTAGGCGCATCTGCATGCTCTGGACATGCGATACGTTGTTGTTGTGATAGGAACTCGTTAAGCGTCTTATGTTGCTCAAGTAGTGACGTGAGCTGTGACAAATCAGCTTGTGAGTTTAGGAACTTTAAATCACCAGCAAGTCTTTGTATGACACTGGCGGCAGATGTGATGGGATTTTGTAGTGAAGCGAGCGACTTTGGCGTTAGTCTCGGATGTTGCATTTGATCATCGAAACTTTGATCCTTGTCGACATCGTCCACTGCATTTTCAGTCCCATCATTCTCATTATTACTATTATTATTGTTATCTGAATTATTATCGGCATCAATTGCATCGCTATTCAGCGACATCGCCCTACTGGCATCGAGCGGTTCAAGGAAGGATATTTGTGATATATCATCAGCATTTTTCTGTATTATTGCCGACGAACATTCACGAAATAGTAAACTCTTTTCCGTCTCACTTAAATTCAATTTGTGCTCGGTACTGGCATGACTTGAGAATAATTTTGAATGACCGAAACTTAATTTGCAGATGAAGCACATGAGAATCGGCTTTTGTCGATGATTTGCTTGATGTAGATCCTTCTGATCGTCACTCGGACACTCTTGTGTTGGCGTTGTACGCGCTGACACTCCATCAGCAACTGGCGGTGAGGTAATGCGAGTTGGTGTCGATCCTGGATTACTCATGCTTGCATCACGCGATGAGATTACGCGAAATGAGTGAATTTTGGGATTATTTGATTGTGATACATCTGGAAGAAAGTTTTTGGGAGGGAAAATTATTAATTTTGAGGTTAGAATTTTGTTTATTTTTGAGGTTATGTTTGGTTGGTTGAAGCTAATACTCAGATCTAGAGTAATAAGGCTAGAATTAAGACAATAATGTCTGATTCTTAGATTTGAGGTTAGAATTCGGATTTTAGAGGTTAGAATCCTGAATTTTGAGGTTAGAATCCTGAATTTTGAGGTTAGAATCCTGAATTTTGAGGTTAGAATTTAAAGTTTTGGGTTGAAATTTCGAATTTTTGGGTTAAAATCTTGAATTTTAAGGTTAGAATCTGTAGTTTTAAAGTTAGAATCTTGAATTTTGAGGTTACAATTTTGAACTTTTAGGTTAGAATTTTAAATTATGAGGATAAAAACCAAAAAAAAAAGATGAAATTTCTTGAGGTTAGAATCTCAAGTTGTCAAATTAGAATTCAAAAAATGAAATTAAATTGTGGGATTCTAAGCTTAGGTTTTAATAATTGTTTCTACAATTTGAGGATAATTATCAAAATTTGACGTTAGGACTGTAGATTTAAGAGAAAAATGTATCAAAGAGCATTAAAATTTCATCACATGAGTTCATTAAATTCTCGGAAATTTCACAACTAATTATTCAATTAAATCTTGTATATTAGTGTATTACTAGCTACTCGCTTTAATATCTCGCAAAATTTTATTACATTTTTAATAAGAAACTTAATTTACTTGACAATATTTCATCATATTTACGAGAAAGTACTTAATTTGCTCAATTTGTATTATTTCAATGAATTGAAATGGTTGGAAAATTTTAAGGGTAAACTCCTGTATTATTAGGATAAATGGCTAGGAAGAATGCCTTTGAGCCTTATTGTTAAGCTTCTTGCAGACCACGATTCAGTTATTTTCGGAAAAAATTTCTCGTTTTAATATCTGAATTTTGCTTAAGATCTAAAAAGATTAGCCTTTTATGTGTCCAAATTCTTAAAGCACCCATAAACCTTAACAAGACATCCCCAAAATAAATAAAAATTACTCACCTTTAATACTACTATCATTTAACTGCAGTGGCAGTTCATTTTCCGAATCAATAATGTATGCTTTACCATCTAAATTATAAACAACTTTGCCCTGAAATCTCTCCACTTCGGCATACGATGATGGCGATGCCTCGTCAGAGTCGTATTCCTGTAAATAAATTAAAATAGAAAAAAAATTGATAAAAAAATTGAAATTATGTCAAAAAGTTGCAATTATATAAAAATTTGCAAACCCGGCGGTGAATTTAAATTTTTTGAAAATCCCAAAATTAAAGCTTGAACCTCCCAAAAAAATAAGAGCTAGTTCCCAATATTCTCACCTACTTCCTAATAAACAAATTAACAACTAAAAAGATCTCGAAAAAAATTCACACTTTAATTCAGATGCGATCAAGTCAAAGGATTACAATCAAATGAGAAATTTCCGTCTTGCTTAATGATAATAAATCTTTTGGCCTTCGACGAACTGTGTACAAAACAACAACAAAAAAATGAGAGAAATACAAAAAAATAAAATAAAAATGAAACTCGTGTTGATTCTTTTAATTAATTTAATTCTCCACCCACAAAAATTTTTTGTGAGTAGTCACACACGTTTATCACAGCAATGTTTAGTCAATCCGACGATCTACATTCGGTTTTAATGATTCGTCCGAAACAGACACACACCGAAATAAAAAAGAAGTAAAAAAAATTTACATAAATTATTTCCAATTAGCGTTTTGTGTACGAGGCAATGAAAGCTTTGATTTTTTATTTTTCGATGATCTCTTTACTCTCGTTTTAGCATCAGTGAACCCAGGCACATCCACAATTGCAACTAGACTCTTTTTTTTCGTATGTATTTATGACTTTTGTGCGTGTGTAACGACCGATGAATGAAGCTGAAGATGAAGATGGTGATTATGAATAAAGAAAATATTGTGGGTATAAAAAACGGCTCAATTAGCGTCTATTTAGCGATCATCACCATTTTCATTAGCATTTTGAAATGATCGTATTGGATTGGAGAATGTAATGTGGTGTAAGTTGAGATTATAGGGCATTTTAGAGGCTGCTGATTGAAATTTAATGGTTCAGGTGATTTAATGCCTTCACATTGAAGTTTTGAGCTTCAGGTGTCTTTACATTAGAGTTATTAGGTTCAGGTGCCTTTACACTAAAGTTGCAAGGTTCAGGCGCCCTCACATTTAAGTTTAAAGATACAAGTGACTTCACACTAGAGTAACTAAGTTCGGGTGTCTTTACATGTGAGTTCAAAGGTTCAGGTGTCTTCACACTAGAGTCTCTAAACTTCAGATGCCTTCACAATAGAGTTTTTAAGTTCAGATCCCTTCACACTAGAGTCACTAAGTTCAGGTGTCTTCACAATAGAGTCACTAAGTTAAGGTGTCTTCACAAAAGAGTCACTAAGTTAAGGTGTCTTCACAATAGAGTCACTAAGTTAAGGTGTCTTCACAATAGAGTCACTAAGTTAAGGTGCCTTCACACTTGAGTCACTAAGTTCTGGTGTCTTCACAATAGAGTAGCTAGGTTAAAGTGCCATCACACTAGAGTTCCTTAACTTCAATTGCCTTCATACCAGTCTAATTTCAAAATCCATTTAGACAATAGCTCAAACATCAAACGAAAAGTTGTCGGAAACTAGCGTGATATATGAAGCTTCACAATATTTAATACCCAAAACATTTCGACATATTTCATGAATGAGAAAATTAAGTGAGAGAAAAAAGAATCAAAGCCGTTTTGTTTGTGTCATAACTAAGTGGTTAATTTGTGCTAAACGCAGGAAATTTTTGATTGAAAAATTTCTTCATTTCATCTTACAATTTTTTCTTGTAAATTTTTTTTTTATGAATTGTATATTGAGAATGGAGAAGAAATTGAATGAAAAAAGAAGATGATAAGTTTTATTCAATCGTTGACGAGATGAATGAATCTGATTGTCTCAAGTGGGTTCAGCAAACTTTCGGTTTGATGTGTGCGGATTTTAATGTAAAGATTAAAATTAAGATGGGTTTTCGGATTAAAATGTGAATGCGGCTGACTTTAGAAACCTAGTGTGAAGGCACCTGAACCTGAACACTCAAGTGTGAAGGCACCTTTATATTAAAAATTTGGTGTGAAGACACCCAAAAAAATATTTTTGATCCTAGTGTCAAGGTACGTGAACATTTTGATACAACTGTGAAGGCACCTTAACCATAATATCTACCAAAAACACACTCAATCCATTCCAAATCACACCATAATACACAAAAACGATGAATCAGCTTCAAATCTCACAACAAGCACCCGCAGAATCTCTCGTTTTCTAATCTTAACCTTTAAACTCAATCAAAAAAACACGATAATTACCACAAAACACCATCAATAATTGATTAACAACACACAAGATGAATAGAAAAAATCTAATCATCAAGTTCAAAATTCTCTTATTGAGCTTAGAAACTCGCAGAAATCAAATTCACAAAAGCACGCAGCGAGAATCTCAGAAAAAAAATTTGATTTGATCGAAAATGATTTGAGCCGTTGCTAAATACAGCTGCTTATTATCTGAACGTATTTTTTTGTTGTTCCTCCTTCTTCGTGGTAATTAGTTTGGATCTCTTTTTGGGATATTTTGCGATAATTAACAATAATTATCTTTGAAAATGATGAATAATGAAAATTATTTGGAAGGGATTTAATTTTTTTTTTCGTAGAGGCTTATTAACTTTTGTATTCAATTAAAATCAAATTATGAGTGTGGGTCCATTATTGTTGTTAATTTCTGAGGTTTAATTATTTTTTTTATTTGATTGTTGAGAATTTTTGAGATTAAGTTAATTATTAGTTCAGTTCTGGAATTTTTGATTCAGGCGCATTCACACAAGGTTTAAAAATGTTCAGGTGCCATCACACTATGTTCAAAATGTTCAGATGCATTCACATTAATTTCAAAATTATTCAGCCACCTTCACACTAAATTCAAAATGGTCAGGTGCATTCACACTATATTTAACTAGGTTGAAAAATGTTCAGGTGCCTTCACACCAGGTTCAAAATGTTAAGGTGCATTCACAATAGGTTCAGAGTATTCAGCCACCTTCACACTAGGTTCAAAATGTTCAGATGCCTTCACACTAATTTCACAAATATTCAGCCACCTTCACACTTGGTTCAAAATGTTCAGATGCCTTCACACCAATTTCACAAATATTCAGCCACCTTCACACCAGGTTCAAAATGTTCAGGTGCATTCACACTATGTTTAAAAATCTTCAGCCATTTTCACACTAGCTTCAGAATATTTTTTTCAATAATTTATTCCGCATAATTGCGTCCCCGACATTTCATTTATCACTGACTCATACCCCACATATTTACACACATAATACAAAATGAAAAATAATTTAAACAATAATGACCAATGGCAAGCATTATTAACGATAATATTAATGATAATGTCCCACATCCTTATTAATGCTGATCAATTACTTTTAATCTTCTCTCATTTCAATACAAAAAAAGATATTCTCTCTTTTGAAGAGCCTAAATGAACTTAATTAATATAAATCAAGACCGTTAATGTATTGGTGTGGATATTCATGCACATAATAGACAGTTAAAAAACAGGCACGTCATTCACATTATATTCATTAATTTGTCTTTTAGATGACCTGTAAATTTATTTTTAAAAATATAATGTGATGAAATGGCCCCAACTGATTTACATTATTTCATTATTTGCCTCTGGGTATGCGGATTTGTGAGTTTTGGCGTGGGTGCAGTGGATTAGGGGATATTGGGTTGACATAACCTTTGCACAATTGTAAATCAATCTCGAAACTTAGATTATAACCTCAAAATTATAGTTTTAACCTCAAAATTAGAGTTCTAACCTCAAAGTTGAGATTCTAACCTTAAACTTGGATTCTAACCTCAAAAAATTCAGCCTAGCCTAAGACTTGTACATCCTAACCTCAATTTTACCTTTATAACCTCAAAATCGTTAACTTAGCTTAAAATTTGAGATTCGAACCTAAAAATTCTGATCAATCCTTCCAATTTGGCAACATAACCCTCAAAATAATTGCTTCATAACCCTGAAATGTTTATTTTAATCTAAAACGGAGATCATAACCTCAAAATTAGCATCCTAACCTCAAATTTTCTTCAAATTCGCATGTTAGCCATGCGTTTAGTCACCAAAGCCAACAAGTGTCATCTCCATACTCATCATAACAACGCTTTTTTTGTTCCATGCACAACATACCAATATTTGTGTGTACATAAAAAGTGGAAATAATAGCAATAATAATGCGATCATTCACTAATTTAATCCACAAATGTGTGTGTGTGTGTGTGTGTGTGTGTGTGTGTGTGTGTGTATGTAAATCATCAACAATTCAGTCTCATCAGCGGACTAGCATCGAGTAACGATCACCAACTCCCACAATTATTTAATCAAAGCTCATTCATTTCAAAAGGCCGTCATTAACTTATTAAATGGATTCTATAATACAGAACAACAACAACATGTACAGTTAAGAACATGACACAAAGCATATGAAGTGTCCGTAGTGCCAATGAAAGATGAAAAATTAAAGAAAATCACGTCCAGTAAGGAAGTTTAAATTATTAAATTAAAGTTAATGAAATGATAAATCAGTGCTGATTGCGACGCATTTAATCTTCTCTCAAGTTTTTTTTTTGTATTTCGGGTTCATGTATTTTGCCATGATTATCGTCACATATAGTCATCGTACGTATTCATTCGCTCATATGCTGATACATATTCATTGGGGGGATATGAAAGCTGAGCACCGAGAGTAAATTAATAAATTAATGTAAATGAGACATGATGGCGACGTTAAAATGAAGACATTTTGAAAAAAATAAATAAAATAAGAATATTCAATTTCATTTGAAGATGAATGTTATGGAGTAATGTGATGACTTTAATGGATAATTTCACACTTAGTTGATCTACTGAAGGGGATTGTGTGATTATCTTTGGGATACTTGTGGATAATTGGCTTGATTTTGAGGTTATGAGACTGTTTTGAGGTTAGAATTCTGAATTTTAACAAAATCTAAGAAACTTTGAGGTTAAAATTCGGATTGATATGAAATCAAAGAATTTTGAGGTTAGGATTCAGATTTTCATAGAATCTAGGAATTTTGAGGTTATGATTCCAAAATTCCAACAAAAACTAAGAGGTTTTGAGGTTAGAAATCCAAATTCAACAAAATCTAAGAAATTTTGAGGTTAAAATTCCTAAATTCAACTTAATACCCAAGACATCTAGGATTTTAAGGTTATGTCAACACAACCTAATCTAAAATCATTTTTCTCACAAATTTCATACTCATCCCTAGCAATAATCTCCTAAAACAGAAAACAGACACTCACCTCAGAATTAGTAACACAATTCTGTGGATCCTCACGCTTTCGTCGCCTCTTACGAGGTGATGGTGAACCAGGTGTTGGAGGTGGCATCTCACTCTGCTTCAACAACGCCTGAAAATCATTCTTGTGCTGATCGTTGTCGATGTGCGGTGACAATTGTGTGTTACTCAGCGCGCTACTGTTTCTTAATAAATTTAAATTTATATCTGTTGATGTTGTTATGGGAGCTTGTGCCGATGATACGGATGATGGTACATAGGCTGATGTGCCTGAGCCGAGCAAGATAGCTCGACCGTCAAATTGAATCGACTCCGTGGCGAAAATCGATGACGCACGCGGGTCGGATAGGCTTGTCGCTTTATTTTGTACAATTCGGATTTATTTTTGGTTGAAAATTTTCGTCCGCTTTGTTTTGGTTGACTTTGTGGGTTGATCGTTTTGAGTTTTTGGCGGGAAATTTTAATGATGAAGATTTGCAATCAATTAAGCATTCTGAAATGAGAAAATGAGACATTTGAGGTTAGAAAATTTTTTGAAATATTTTTAAGGTTAGAAATTTACTTTTTAAATTTTTAAGGTTAGAATTTCAGTTTTAATTATTTTTGAGGTTAGAATCCTAAAATTAAGCATTTTAAGGTTAGATTTTTGAAACGAAGTTCTTTTGAGGTTAGAATATAAATTTTAAATTTTTTGAGGTTATGTTTTCACATTTGTAATTTATTCCCACCAAAAACGTTTTCAAAAACTTCCAATTTTCAATTAAAAATACAAGAAAAAATCAGATAAAAAATTTCCGATTTTTAAAAATAATTTTAATTTCCAAAATAATTTTTCCACGTTAAAACTTCTTAACAAAAATGCCGACATTTATCATTTACAAGATTTTAAACTTAAAATTTTTGTAGATTTTTTTTTGTTATTTCGCACACGCAGAAAATTCGAGAAGAACTTTTTTAAAATTTATACCATTTATTGTCATTTCATCTCCATTTTTAATTGTTTTTGAATTTTAACAGAAACGAAAAATTCGCCGCTTTGTTTTTTTTTCGTGTGCTGTTGAACGTTCCTATATAAAATGTTACTTTTTTTCGCATTGATTGTGATCATGAATTATTAATGTAGAGAGCAAAAATACACATACGGAGCAATGAGACTCAATGAGCGCTGCTTATACAATTTTTTTTTCGAGAGCTGATCGCTGCCATTGTAAATGTCCATTTATGGCCATCGACCGGATTTCTTATTGCCTTCCCCATTCTCATTCTCGTTCTGTTTCTATGGTTGCATGTATATGCACCATTCGGGATGAGAGTGAGTCCTCTCTTCCCACAGGTTAATGATAATATTTTTCTTGTGTATTAATAAAGAATAAAAATTGATGTTGAGACCCCTTAGAAAGCTTTGTCAGAATTTGTAGTAAAAAACAGAATCGTAACCTCAAACTTTAGAATCAAAACCTTGAAATTCAAGAACTAACCTCAAAATTAAGCAACCTAACCTCAAATTTTAGCAACATAACCTCGAAATTTTAGCAACATAACCTCGAAATTCCGAACTTAACCTCAAAATTCAGCAACATAACCTCAAACTTTAGTCAAAATTGCCAAAATAACCTCAAAAATTCATAAGAATATCCTCAAAATTCAGCAACATAACCTCCAAAAAATCAAAAATTTTCCACCCTAATCTCAAAAAGATCCCAACAATATCTCCCTACCCAACCCAAAGTCTCAAACCAAACAACAAGATGAAGATTTTTTTCTACACTCGCATCGTCAACTTCAGTGACTCTTTCTCAAGATTGGATAAAAAGGCAAAAGGTAGAAATAAATTGATGATGATCGTTAATAAGCATTGAAAAAATGAAATAAAGAACCGAGCACAGAGAGGGAGAAGGAGAGATAAAAAAGAAGAATGTGAATAAAAATTATTATTACAATATAAAAAATGGATTTTTATGAAAGATTTTATCGCAAAAAAAAGGCAAGAAAGAAAGAAAAAAAAGTTTTTAAATCGAGTTTAAAAAATGAAGATTTTTTTTGTCTTTTTTTCTGGTCGGCAAATATTAAAATGTTATGAAGCACCAAAAATGTTGAATTTATTGACAAAGAAAAGAGTTTTATTTTGAGAAATGATAGAATTGAGGTTTGAAATGTAAATTTAGGGTTCTTGAGAGATTTAGGTGTCTTCACACTTGAGTTTTGAGGTTAAGGAGCCTTCACACTAGATTTTTTAATTTCATGTGACTTAAAACTAGATTCTTTTAGTTCAGGTGCATTTACACTTGAGTTTTGAGGTTTATTTGCCTTCACACTATTTGCTTTAGGTTCAGGTGTCTTCACATTTGAGTTTTGAGTTTCACGTTCAGACTTATGAGCTTTATATGCCTTCAAAAGGGAGTTTTGATATTATATTGCCTTTACACAAGCTTCCTATAATCAATTTCAATCTTAATCTTACTCAAATCACTCAAAACAAGTCCACGACATCATATTTCTCACATCCATTTCACCAAAGACCATTCGAAAACAAGAAGAAAAAAAAAATCTAAATCAATATTCCTCAACCTCATTTCAATCTCATCTAGATCTCATTCATTTCCTGCAGCATAACCAACGTCAACAGCACTAAGAGAAATAAATATTCGCGCATTTGTGCTTCGTCATAATCCATTTCTCTCCGCATGATGCTTCTCGAGAAATCTTGAAATCCAATAAATCACCATTCGGATTCAATAAAGAGCAAGACACAAGGCATAGGAGAGAGCAAGTAGGAAAAAAATTGTACGCAAAACAAGCCTTTAAGTAAATCACACACAAAACAGAATTAAATTGAAAAAAAAAAATCTCCATACGCGCATAAGCCATTGACGAGAGAGACTGATGATGAAGAAAGAAAAGAAGAAAAAGAGATGAAAATGAGATCCAATTGGATGTGAAGCATGAGCATTAATCGCGCGTTGCTAAGTGATGTAGAAAATTGTAATGTGAGGAGATGTGAAATAAATAAGATCAAGAAGAAGACAAGACAAGATGAGATGCAAGAAAAGGCGAGAAAAGACAAAGAAAGTTTAACATCAAGTTTTGTGCGATTGCTGGAAGGATTGGATGGAGATTGTGGCTATGGGGTGTCTGAACGAGAGACCTTTGGGTTGTTGGTGTCTGATTGATTTTAAAAATCTAGCTAGAAATGTTCTAAATCAAAATTGTTATCGTGCGTCATATTCTGGGAAACAGTTTACTGTCTCTCCTGAACTGATGCACGGCAGGTATTTACTGGCCATTCTGATTTTTAAAAATGTTTGAAAATAATTCACATGCGATATATTCTGGGAAACAGTTTACTGTCCCTCCCAAATATGGCACACGCCTAAAATTTCTCGGTTTTTATCAAAATTTCAAGAGCTTGTTAACGCATTGAAGACCAATCCAATTAGCAATCACCTCCATTTTCCATCTTTAACCCAAACAAAAGCCCCATCATCGCCATTTGCTGAACAGGCCACTCATTAAATTTTAATTTCATACGATAATCCATACAAAAACCTTATTGTAAACTCGAAAAAGTAACAAACAAAAAAAAATCCATTCAAAAGCTTCACAATTCATAATGAAATGAGTTAAGAAGAAGAGAGGAGAAAAAAAAATATTGAAAAGAAGAGAAACAACAATGCGACAGGGCAGAGGAAAAGAAACAATGGCAAGAAGATCAAACTATTTATAATGACAATAATAATAATTCCCAGAAAGAACTTAAGACACACAATAAAGCAGAGAAAAGAAAAAAAAAGAAAAGTTATTAAAAATATATCTCAGATGCTATAGCATAATATAATAAAATATAAAGCAGCATCAACTAAGAAATTTATGCTCGTATAATGAATGGAAGAAGCAGAAGGAAGGAACATAAAGATACATAAAAAAATATTTTTAATAAACATTAACAAAAGCTGCGATTATTAGATTCTTCCAAAATGAGCCAGAACAACGGACAACAACAACAAAAAAAATAATACGAGAGATAAAATTATAATGAAGGAAGCGCGGAAAGGGAGATGTCGAAGACAATGGAACGAAAATGTCAAAAAATTATTTAATTTCTGGTGAATATCAATGTGAATATGATGCTGGACAAAGGGTTAAAGATAAGAGTTATGGATTAAATTGGGATAAAAAGGAAAAAATTTGGCGTGCGCCATATTGGGGTAGACAGTAAACTTTTTCCTGAAATATTGTGCATGTCAATATTTTCAATATCCGTAATAATTTATGAAGCTAAGTTAAGATCATGATGATCGAAAAATAACAAGCGTGCGCCAGTTTAGGAAGACAGTAAACTATTCCCACAAATATGGCGCATGAATGATGATTTATAAAAGACTATGAAAATATCCATTAAATGCATAATTCAAATAACTTATATGGCTAGTAATATGCGTCAGTTTAGAGTAGACAGTAAACTGTCCTCAAAAATATGACGCACACTCAACAACAATCCTTAATCTAAGCTATGCTACACCATCCACTACAAAAGCCACAATTCATCTATGCAACAAAGTAGAATCAGCACAAAAGTAGAAACAAAACATGATGAAAAAAAAAATTGAATTGTTTTTAATTCGCTTTTGTGTGAAATTCTTTTTGTGAACCTTTGGCGTTACATTCTTATCTCATCGCTATGTGTATAAATATCAAAATAATATTTTTTTTCTCTTTGCTTGTTTAGATTTCTTTGTTCTTTGTCTTGTTTTTGTTTTTTACTTTGTTATGCTGAAACATACGCGCATAATTTAATAAGCTATATGAATTTATTAAATAATGTGTATTAGATTAGGTTTGTGAAGCTGAGTGTGGATGCGATTTTTGGGGGAGGTTAATGTGAACGATAATGGTGATTTTGACTCACAGATTGCTTGAATCTTCAACAGTCACCACCAGCCAGTGCCCTCAAGCCATCATCATCCCAACAAATCCATCCAGCAGTTTTTCCTTCGAGGAAATGAAAACAGCGCGGCATGTAGCGCGCGACGGGGCATCGTTCAAATGACATCAGGATTCAAAAGTGCCGCGAGTCCATAAATTACCTTCAAAAGAGCACACAAACAATTTTTTTTGTTGTATTTCATATCCCGTACAGAGTCCGCCGAAAGAAAACGTGAGCAAAAAAAAAAAAGATTTTTTTTGTGTGTCTCATTTTCCTCCTCTTTATGTATGCGCGCTCTTTTCTGTCGTTTTTTTTTTGCTTTCTTTCGTTCATGTTAATAATTTTTTTATTCTTAATTTAATTACAATTCTGCTAAGAATGAAGGAAAGGAGAAGAAGAGATGGCTTCGTGATAAGATTTTTTTTTGTTATGTTTTATGCTTTTTGTTGGATTGTTTGCCGGCTCATGGGATTGCTGGTTGTGATTCTATGTTAGATTTGGGTGGGAAAGTAGTGAAAATTTGACTTTTGAATGAATTTTAGGGAAAAGTTGGTATGCGCTATATTCTGGGAAATAGTTTACTGTCTCTCCTATTATGACGCATGGAAAAAATACTAAAATAAACTAAAACAGCATGAAAACTCAGAAATCTTCTTAAAAATCGATAAGTATTGTCGTGCGCCATATTCTTAGAGACAGTAAACTATTTCCCAGAAAATGACGCACAGTAGAAAAATTTTTTTCTTAAAATTAAAAAATTCAATACAAAGTAATCAAAATTGGTCCACAGACAGACAAACAAGCAATTATTATATTAATACCAATAATTATTAACTAAATGAGCTACAAGAATTCCACATGAAATCACTCTTGTTATTAATTTCCCTCCAGACGCCAACAAAATCACGAGAAATTTGCATAATTTTTGTTGCATATTAAGCATCGAAATTGTTATAATTATCAGCGAAACAAAAAAAAATTATGAAAAATGCAACAAAATCTCATTTATGCATGCAAAACCACAAATTATTCCATCCTACGTCTGACTCTGTGACTCTCATTCTTCAGCCATTAGTTCACATTCTGCAATGCCCCAAACAAAATATCCACAAAGTAAAAATCAACCGCTCCAATTAATTAAATTTAAATTTTTTTCATCGCTTCTTTTTTTGTGTCTGTGCCTTCGTCGTTGCTTTTTTTTTGGAAAATTTTCAAGGCATTTCAACTTTTGATTTCCACTTTAAGATTTAAGAAATTCTTTCAATTAAATTCTCCACACACTCACCGAAAAAAAAAACAAAACTTATTTTTTCGCATTCTTTTTTTTCAATTTCGCAGAGATTAATCTCACTTTTTATATACAATTTAAGTTGTTGCATCCACAAATTGCAATTTTCATTGAAAAAAGGCAGCACAGTACTGCGACCAGTTGGAGCGTGACAGTAAAGATGATGGCGGTTGATTACGAGAAATAAAATGAAATAAAATAAAATAAGAAATGCTTGCAAAAAGTACAAGATTTGCTGTTTCGAGGCTGAAAATTCTTTTTTTGTGTAATTTTTTTTGTTTGTGAATTTGTTTGTTGACTAAAGGAAGAATTTTTTGCATGGATTGCAAGTACGCGTTGATTCCGGAGTGATTTTTAAGGTTATGATACAAAACTTTGAGGTTGTATAACAAAAAATTGAGGTTAAGTAGCCAAATGTTGAGGTTAAGTCACCAAATTTTGAGAATAAGTCACTGAAATTTGAGGTTTAGTCACCAAATTTTTTGATTAAGTCACCAAATTTTGAGGTTAAGCCACCAAATTTTGAGGTTAAGTCTCCAAATTTTGAGGTTAAGTCACCAAATTTTGAGGTTAAGTCACCAAATTTTGAGGTTAAGTCACCGAATTTTGAGGTTAAGTCACCAAATTTTGAGGTTGTCACCAAATTTTGATGTTAATCACCAAATTTTGAGGTTGTCACCAAATTTTGAGGTCAAGTCACCAAATTTTGAGTTTGTCATCAAATTTTGAGGTTAAGTCACCAAACTTTGAGGTCAAGTCACCAAATTTTGAGGTTCAGTCACCAAATGTTTAGGTTAAGTCACCAAATTTTGAAGTTAAGTCATCAAACATATCCAAAAATCCACAATATTCATACCTAAATCTAAAAAAATCAAACCAATCGACTCTCATTAATCATCTTTTCACCATCTATTGACTATTCTAAATCACAATCTTTCATGCTTCTCCGCTAGTCTAAATCTGAAGCCTCGAAAAAAAAAGTCTAATCCACAACATCTCTTTCATCCCATTAACCTTTCCAAAATCTTTCGTGTCCATTCTTCACTCTCGCCAAAATAAAAAAAAAACACAAAAAAAATCTTACCGAAGAATTTTTTTCATCTCCAGCCACATCGGCACCGGAGATGAAGAGAAAAGAGCAACGTGTCGACACAGCCAAACTACATTATTCACAATATTACAGTACTTTGACCTCTCTCGCTCTTTCACATTCAATTCAAAGACTCTTTCTTTATTTTTGTGTTTATAAAGTTTTTTTTAGAAGGTTCACGCAGCTTCTGATCCTCAATTCATTCATCACATAACACCTCAAATCAGTTCCGCTCTACATCAAAATATAGATTTTTTTTTGGTATTATTGAATTTTTGATGATAAAAAATTTAATAGTCAATTTGATGCGATGGGTTTACAGAGATTTTGAGTGAGCTGAGATTTGGAAATGGTGAGGAGATTTGGTGACGTTTTGGGTGTTTTGATCTGAATTTGATGGTTTTTAAGGTTAGAATCTTTATATTCTTATTGTAACGAGTCATTTCTATGAGATTAACGGCTACACTGCTTCAATAAAAGCTTGAAAATAGCTATTTTTCAAAATGACATATTTTGGGAGAGACTTTAAACTTTTCCTCAGAATATTGCTCACAAATAGAATTTTTCTCAATTTTCTGTAACTTCAAGCAATATTTAACAGTTTTATGCTGATTTGTGAGCAATTCTTTCAATTTGAATGACAATTTGACTACATAACCTCAAAAATATTCCAAAAAGCTCCATCAACCCCCCAAAAATGCGCCTATACCCTCAATACCAACTTAAACTTCCTCTAATCTAAGTACATCTTCTCATCACATTCTTTATTTTTTTATCCACACAATTGGATGATTTAACGATAGACGAAATGAGAGCGCACAGCATCAAGTTAGTAAAGCGTGTGTATTAAAATTCACCGTAAAGCGTAAAAATGTCCAACAACACTTGATAATCTTCAATATATATAATTTTTTCTCTATTTATTTCAATTTCATTTAATGTGAATAAAAATTGATTTTTTCCATTGAAGAAAGAGAATTTCTTCTGAATTCCTTTGTATCTCATGCTAGTCAGCAAGACGTCAAAATCGATGATTGGATGAATATTCAATGCTAATGTGTACGTTTTTAACCTGCTTGTAATTTATGGCGATGCAAATTTTTTTATTTTATTTTTACTGTTGTTTTGTTAATGCAATTATTATGATTATGTGAC